ATGATGAGGGTCCCATCACTCATCTGTCGCACGTCCTTCTTCCTGAAATTCGTCTCCTGCAGAGCGATGAAGCGGTACTTGATGTGCTCTGCAGCGCCGAGAAGAGCGTGGAGGTCGGCGTTTGTGGAGACTGTCCTGGCGTTGTAGGTGCAGAGCATGAGGCACTCTCCATGGCGTGTCGTTTGTGTCCAATCCAAAAGGCGCCCTGAAGACTCCGACATCGTTGCTACCCCCGGCGCCGTGGGCGGGATCCGATGTGCAATGTTTATTCTGTTCTTCTAACTGGCGAGAAAATGATAAATTCCCCTACAAGACAGACTTGCTAGGCCTACTCCTGATTTCCACGGGGCATCGCTGACATAGGTGTGGAGCGGGGAGAACCGTCTCGCGACCAGGAGAACAAGGCGGCGGTGGATCTGGCCTGGCCGGCTCTTAGCTAGGCATCCGTCAGCAACTGGAAACGTCGAACTCCTTCACTGCTTGGGAGGCCCTACTAGAGTATACACTCGGCTATGCATCGCAGTTCGACACCCAGTGTCACCCCCACGCCACGATGAGGCGGTCGACCTTTGTGAGGGAGAAAGCCTCCGACAGCGTAGAAACCAACGCCATCCTGTCTGCGCTAGTCCAAGGAGTGGACCCAACTTACGTGAGGAGACGTTAGCCGACTGCTACAAGGACCAACGACGATGCAACTCTTCCACCGTCCCCTCACCATACCATTTGGGAAGGGGGTCCGACAAGGCGACACATTATCGCAAAAGCTGTTTATTGCGGCTTCTGCTTCAGTGATGCTGCTCGAAAGAATGATGTCGTCCGCAAAGCAAAGGTTCTACAGGAATCTCTCATCAACTCGTATGCCTCTCTCGTCTCAGTCCAGTGACTTCATCACCCATGACCTTGACCAAGGCCTTGTATCACTGAAGCAGAGAAGATGCTTAAGGAGCTTAACGAAGTAGGGAATAACGGATAAATCGGAAGAAGACTCAGTTCGTGAAGAACGCCCTTTGCGAAGATGCGGAAATGGAAATGAAAATCACCGCCATCATGGGGCACCAGTGCGTCACCTCTGCTTCGCAGAGGCTCGCACTTGTTCTACTGTTTAATACCCTACTCATTCTCGCATAATGATGGCATTGGTACTCAACGAGCAATGCCGAGACAGCTTTTTTATGTGAAATCGGTGACGCGTGGATGAGACTTTTTGCAGAAAAACAAACGCAAGTTTCTATAGGTTTTGATTTTCCCATGGTCTTGACAGTTGCAATAAGAACAGCAGTCACTCTGAGCTACATCTTTGTGCAAAAGTGTCTGGTCAAATGCTCTGAGGCGGTATGTAACAATCGCCCGTCCGGGTAAGTTACCCGGACAGATAGTTTCCGCTTCAAAGCTCGGTGCTCAGGGAATCTGTGTTCTTCCTTGTTTGTTCATCTATTGGAGGCTCTACTACCCTAATATTGTAGTACAATAGCACTTTTGTATAAGCTGAAATAATTCGTTTTTTGTATGATCCCGAACGGGATCTCTCACTGATCACGCTCAATTTCAAAGTTATTATATCCGCAAAAGCTCAATGAAAACGTCACATAGTTTTGCTTTCGATCTATTACGACAGTGCTACGCATGTTTTTAGTAGCACAGATGATGCAAGTTTTAAGTTTTTCGATAAAGCCCAATTCGCGAACACGTTCAGCGAAGATTTCGTCAACTTGATTTTTCACTTATTTCTTTCACAAGCATGCGTAGCACTGTTGTATTAAATGGACAGCATAACTACACAAAGTTTTCCTTGAGTTTTTGCGGATATAAACAACTTTAAAAAAGAGCGTGATCAGTGGGAGATCCCGTTCGGGATCATGCAAATGACGAATTATCTCAGCTTATACAGCAAAGTGCTGCTAATCATTGCGCTACAATATTAGGGTAGTAGAGCCTCCCAAAGATGAAGATACAAGGAAGAACTCTGATCCCCATAGCACCGAGCTATGAAGCGGAAACTACCTGTCCGGGTAACTTACCCGGACGGGCGATTGTTGCATACCGCCCCTGGTGAAACCTTGACAAATTGACCATTTAGCAACCAATACTTTTTGGCGCCATAAGTAATGGACTTTTGATCACTTTTTCGGGCCTAAGTTCATGGCTTGCACATTTACTTGGCATAAACATCCACGACTCTACAAGAAGTGGAATTACGGACCCAATTTTACGGCCCAAATGCAAAATGAATCCGTTTGACGCGCATCTGAGGGATCCACTCAACGAATCTGCTCGTGCTTTTGCGCGTTGGACTTACAGGCGGGTAGTATGCACTGCGCAAAATTTGAGCCCAAGAGGTTGGCTGGAACTCGCGTTATGAATTTCGTGACAAACAGACATTCACGCACACAGACACACAAAAACACGTAAACACTCTTAGCGCGTTACTTAGTAGGATTTTCTCATTTCTTGAACGTTTGATAAACATTGATGAACATGGGGAACGATATGAGGAAAGAATTAATAGGAGATTAAGAGCAACGTAAGCCGCCTTTGGGCCTCTTAAGGAAGCACCGAACAAATGACGGACTTAGAGCTTCGAGCTCACCTATCCGACTCAACCAAGGTTCTTCCGGCGCTTTGTTACGCAGCTGAGACTTGGAGCGACAGTAGCCACGTCGAAAGCCTTACAGAACGCCTGCAGAGCGCTTGAGTGCATTCTTATGAAAATGACCTGACACAAACAGCTTTTTGCCTTTGCAGTACGGATATGAGAAGAATGTCCCGTCTTCGTGACCCAGCGGAATACGTTGCGAAAACGAAACACCGATGGGCCGGTCACATCGTGAGGAAACAGATGACAAATAGACACTAAAACAGCCGAGTGATTTCTCGCGAAGCAAAACGTCCCGAGGAAGAATTCCAACGAGATGAGCAGACGTGTTCGTGGGACGGTAGAACAACTGCGAAATCAGCATACGATTTTCTCACCTGGAACTCGTAGACGGAGGCACAGGTGCGGTAAGATGAGAATGACCCCTCCAGGGTGAAGGGGGTCACAGCGGTCGCAACCCCTCCGGTGAAGGGTGTTTCAGTTGATCAAGAAATCATAAAATCAAAAAATGTCGACCGGGGGGGGGGGAGGGAGCCAGTGTTCTCATCATTTTTCCTAGTCGAAGTTTATAATTTTCAATCTTGCCATCACTGATTGCCTTTTTTCTGAAATGTGAGCAAATGTGCTGCTGGATTAGCACACAATTATGGTTCTGACCAGCACCTTTATTTTACATTTTTCCTTTTTCCTTTTTTACATCACTCTGCCCGTTTTTAAAATTACCATAGAAGATGTGCATGCGTGAAGATTTGTTTTGGAAAAAGTTAGACAATTTTTGAATATTTACGAATTTTTCAAAAGAGGAAATTCGTAATTTCTGTAGATGAACAGCAACGTCAGCGAGCGAAATGTTTTTTAAAACCACCTTGTCCTCCGCTTATAGAGCATATATAGTTGCCTGGAGTCTGTTGTCTTTACACTAAAAAACCCAAAAAAGCGACATTATTTTCTTGACATCCTAAAGATGTCTTTTTACAATGGTAAAATAGCCTGTACTTGAGCACCCCCATTATAAAAGTCTCACCCACCCTTCACCAGGCACTTTTTCTAACTGACCCCGGGCAAGGTATATATTTTCTAAGGCGGAGAACGAGACGGTTCCAAAGGTGACCATCGCGGCGTACAAGATGTTCATCTACAGAAGTTATGACTTTTTTATGTTGAAAACTCGAAAATCTTCAAAAATCACTGGGACACCCTTCACCCAGGCACTTTTTCTAACGGACCCCAGGCAAGGTATATTTTTTCTGAAAGCAGAGGATGAGACGGTTCCAAAGGTGACCATCAGGGCGCATAAGATGTTCAACTACAGAAGTTTTGAATTTTTTGTGTTAAAAACTTGAAAATCTTTAGAAATCATTGAGCACACCCTTCACCCAGGCAGTTTTTTGAATGGATCTAAGACAAATTTCATATCATTCGAAAATGGAGGACGAGGTGGTTTTAACGGTGACCATCTCGCCGTAAAAGATGTTCATCTACAAAAGTTATGAATTTTTTTTATGTTAAAAGCTCGAAAATGTCCAGAAATCACTACTCACACCCTCACCAAGCACTTTTTTCAACAGACTCCTCCTTTCCTTACATAAACAATTCACGTGCAAATATTTCCTTTGCTTAACCTTACCTCACTGTTGATTTTTCTTCTCGGCTTTTGGTGAAGGGATCACCTTGGTCCTGGCTCAGGGGTGAAAGGGGGGGTGAGAAAATTCTCACACTATCGCACCTGTGGACGGAGGCACCGCCTACAACCAAGAAAATCGTGGGGTTCTGAAGGGAGGGACAGGGAACATTGGAAACATCTGTGCTGAGGTGCGCATGTCAAGTGAAGACATGCTTTCATGTATCTAATCATATATTGATGAGACTCAAATCTCTGACAGACCTTCGTTTCGCTTGGGGTATGGGCTTAAAATCTTGACTACTGAATGGAGCATAAATCTCTCTGCAGAAGGTTTTTTCCTTTTACTTTGAACCGATGTATATAACATACGAAATCCATTATTATCAAGAAGAAAACGAAGTTTTCTAATTTGCTCCATAAGTCTGTGCTCTTGGTAACGGAAAGACTTGCATATGATTACAAAAACGAGAGAATGAAGAAAATTAATTGAAAGGCATTTTTTCAATGATTTCAGCCTGCGCAAGTCGTGATAGATAAATATTTGTAGTGCTTTGTTCACACCTTAATGACCATTGTGACCAATTCTTGGTTATTATTTGCACCAAAGCTTTGCCCAAGAAAGATGTGAAGCAAAACGACCTATAAGCTTGCCACCCTTACCGTAACCTAGCTCCGCAAATAACTTTGAAAATGTTTGTTGCATTGTCGTGTTTCGAAACTAACATATTCATTGAATCCACGAATACTAACGATTCGTTAATTTCCAATCATGTTAAACTTCAGGTGGAAATTGGTGTAGTGGACAAAATTTCTTATTCACATCAATTCCTTTCCTTGTTTATGAATGTATTTGCTTCTCCACTCATTGGCGCTGTCGGTGCGAAAGTAGTAGCTTGGATAATATCGAAACTGAAAGAAAATAAGAAGAGACAGGTCGGCTAGTGCAAGTCGTTGCACTATAGCTGATGCGTAGTGATTGCAGGCATTCATCTTAGTGTCAGTTTATGGTATTTTTATACTTTGCGAAAAATGCTCTGGCTCTCCGGCACTTGGTCTAGTTGTGTTTGGAATTATGTTGAACTCATACAGGTAAACTTTGATGCGAGTGGACATCAATACTCTTATTTTCTCATAGAGAAAGTTTTGCCCCGGAAACAACAGAAATGGCTCTTGAATTGTGGGCAGCAATGGGTTACTGGGCAAACAATGTGATTTTTATATTTGCGGGTTTTTGCGTAGGTACTGGAATGTTTACTGGCACTGATGTGAGTTCTTATTACTAGTGATATATGCAAACGACATATAAGTGTGCACCCAGTTTAGGAAAACTTGAATTATTTGGAGATCGATTATGAAGACCTTTCCATATTTGTGGAAGGAATGCTATTAGCGCCAATGTTGCTATTTTCCAGGATAGCATCAGTATATTTGTTTTACAAGGTTTCGTACGTTCATATATACATCAAAAATAAAAATAAAAATAAAAACATTCAATTGAAAGAAATATCAACTTAATAGAATTCATAGAACACCTGTTCACCTCATAAACCACTAACAACTCGGAAGAAAGGGCAAATAATTTTAATTTAACTGGCTTGGCGGCTGGAAGGCGGTGCTTCGTGACCTAACTAAGGCCACTCGCGCCCGCCACGCAGTCGCGCGCGTGCTCTCTGATCATTACCCTAACCTTCATTAGGTCAGGTTCGCCTTTCAGCCGCCAAGCCAGTTGAATCAAAGGGTATTGCTGCGAATTCATATCTATTGGGGCGGTGAAACGGATAGGTGATAATTTTCAGGAGCATTGCTTTGGCGGGTTTCAGAATGAATTTGGAACTTTTGAGTTATTGAATGTGCCGAGAGCGAAAATCTTTGGATAAAGATTCTTTCTTCTTAGGATGCTTCAAAGCCGGATTTTGTCGACTTTCTGACATAAAGAATTGATTTGAAGGGTGCGGTTGCTTCTCTAAAGAGCGTACAAGAAATGATTTCGAAGTCATGATAGTTTTTTGTACAGTCGAGGATAGATTCAGAGATACGCAGTGCAGGCATGTCAGATTAACAGTGAAACAACCACCCTCACAATCTCACTCTTCTGCAGTGTATAACTGAAAAAAAGCATAATGGAAATTGGACTCGCTTTCCTTAGAAAGCAGGGATGTTTTTGGGAGTAGAACAAAGTATCACTTTTGCATGGTAACATTTTGCGCTGAGAGAACGTTACATGTCTCAAAGTTAAAAGGGAATAACAATTGTCTTATTACAGCATACAAACTACAATATGTAGGCCTAACTGCAAACTCGTTCCAATTTCTTAAATAACAAAATGCTATGAGTAACACATATTTGCAGTATTTATCGCTGTTGTCAACACAACCTCTGCCACCCAGAAGAGATTTTGTAATACTTGCATATGGTGGCTTAAGAGGAGCTCTTGGACTAATGTTAGCTATGGAACTACATAGAAAAGTAAGCTCCGATAGGTTTTATAAAATACTGAAATCAATAGAATTACAATAAAGATATAACTTGATTTTGGCTTACGCTATCTTAGGACTCGGGCATAGTCATGCATAAGGCAACCATTACGACTTCATTGCATGCCGATCCTCATACATTTCAGTTGTCATAGTTATCCTACACGACTAATCGTGACTGACTATCACAAGATGAATGACATGCAATGGAGATAACAATTGTCTTGTCGGGAGAACCGCGAGGCGACAAAATCGCTTGAACTATGTCCGGGGCCTTACATCTTCACGCATTTTCATATCATTGACTTTGGCTTAACAGCATTCATTTTACAAAGTACGATTTGGAGTCAAATTGCAAGGTCTGGGCATGCAAGCAACGGATGCGTCGCAGCATGAGAAATTATGATGGCAGGTTTGGTGAATTTGAAAGCAGCTACACCTAGGGCCGCATGCATTAACATACCCGCCGGGGAGGGGATCGCAGCTTAAAAGAAAGCCTCATAGTGAAGCTCTAGATATCTGAATCTCACGCTGTCTACGTATCCGTAAGTAATCCTAACATCCGTCACTACGAACATATTAAATAGGAGTGAGAAGCTTTAGAAGCCACATTTCCCAGCTTTTTGTGTAATCCCCACATGATCCTCAACTGCCAACTTTTTTTTCAAAATCGTTTTTCTTTCTCCGAATCTAACGAAAACCCTCCAAAGTTGTACTGATCGTGACCCAACAATGCTAAGCATGTTGCTGATAAGAGCAAATGATGTAAGAGTCATCAAATTTACGATGAACCACAAGTTGAAAGTTGGGGTTTTCCGGATTCGATCTTTCAAGAACCTATTTGTCTCATCAGCAACATGCTGAGCAAGTTGGGTTAGATAATCAGTATACAATTTTGGAAAGTTTTCGTTAGCTTCGAAGAAAGAAAAATGACTTTAAGGAAAAGACTGTCGGTAGTTGGGATCATCAGGGGATCATACAAAAAAGCTGAAAAATGTGGCTCTTACAGCTTTTCGCTCCTGTTCGATATATTCATAGTAAACGATGATAAAATTATGGTTAAGTAGACAGCGTAAAATCTTGATTTTTGAAGCTTCAGGATATGAAGCTTCCTTTTGAGCTGCATTCCCTAGCCGGTGGGGATTTTAATGCATGCGGCCCATAGAGTGAGTGCTGATGCTTTCGAGCAATGGGAAGTGAGAAGAAAAAGTGCTTAATTTTGCGCAAAAGTCAGTTGAGATCATCCCACACAAGCTAGCGACGCAATCAGGATCACTTCCGACCCCCCCCCCCCCATCCTTGTTTCGTTATTTGTACAAAGTTCGCGATATGCGGCCTAGGGTTCAAGCGCTATCGGAAATTTATCTCGACTTGTATGAACGACAGATCGGGCACTGTTTATCCAATTTCAGGTCAATAAGACATTCACGAAGAGGCTTTTGCACCTTACATGCTCTGCTACATTTATAAGCCTTGTCTTCCAAGTGAGTTGAACAAGCCTGTAATTCTCATATTATGATTCTCCATAGAGTATTGTATATCAATACAAAGAGATTTACTACTCAGGAAGAAAGTTGCAAAAGTGCTTTTCTTTCGGCTTGCAGAGCAGCTTTATGATAGATGCAATAAGTTTTGGGTGCATCCATTGAGTGCGATGACTGAGGAACAGACAAGAACGAAATTAAAAATTTATTGAATACCAGCGACCCTCAGGTCGCTGTAAGTGGGTCGGGGAAGATACATTAGTATTTGCTTAGTTGGGACTACATCTAATTATCAACGGTGTGCACATATCCCTTCTAGAAAAGCTCAATGACCGAAAAATCAAATTTTGCAGGTCGAAAGTGAGTCACGGCTACAGTTCCAAAGCACATTCGGCATTGCCGTCTGCGATCTACCTCTCATAAACACTCCTCGCTCCCCTGCGCCATAGGAAGTTTATGGTATACATCCTTCTCCCGTGGCTCGTAACCTCTGCAATAGAGTGTGAATCTCGCGCGCTGACACTGTCAATAACTCCCCCTCCGCAACGCTGAAAGGAAGGGTCAGGGTGGGAGACGATGTGTAGTTTTCGTCGTTTAATTTATTGAGTATAATAATGAAAAGATTGCAGGGAATGACATTCTCGGCATTGGCCAAAAAAGAAGGCACCACGAAGCGCTCCAAGTATGTTAAGGACACGTGTGTTCGTCTGTCCCGATTCCTGGATGTAAAAGTATGAAATTTTATTCATGCAACTGCTCAAATGATGAAACGATGAAACTCGAACATGTTTAGATCAGGGAAGCTCTTCATGTGATGAAAAGTGATGTAAGCTCTTGCCTTGCTGGCGCACACTGGAAGGTTGTTGAAACTCAAGTCAGAGAATGCTTAGAAAAGAATGCTACTGCAATGGAAAATGAGATGGTATCTAACAGTTGTTTGCTACTACTAAATCAGATGGGGCTTGTATTTAGCTGCAACAACAAGAATACAGCCAGGATGAGACGTCTGATGATGAGCAAACTCGAAAGAGTGAGGTTAGCACCGACATGATTGACGCTAGAGTCGGCTTGTATGGAATCCTTTTAGCAAGGGTAAGCTCAAATGCTATTTCGTTCCCCATGATAAGAGATAAGAAAACGTAGGCGCCCTTAACAAATTGCGCCAATATCTCTCCACAATATCGCATGAAGCTATGCCCACTGCTCATCCCCGCCTTGGTCCAATGGTTCACTCGGTCCGTGAGTTGCGCAGTCTACGCGAGCAGTCCTCTAGCTCGATTTTATTGTTTGAAAGCTTGATGGTCGGCGAACTCACCAAAACGTGTTACGAATGCCATTTTGTTGCCACAAACGTCACATTGGCTAAACTGTCGAAAACGCTTGGATAGTTTGAGTTCTGCCAAAACGCGCTTGGACAGTTTAAGTTGACTTTACCGTCATGCACTACCGTGAATCTAAGCACAATTTTTTGAAAGTATAACTGGGTACACAATCAAAGATAACTTTTGCAGCGCCGGTGAAATATGATTTCATGACTTCAAAGGAGATTGGCTGCCTTCATTATCTTCAAGATCCTCCATTGACATTCTGCGCTTTTCACAAATAGTTGTCAATTCGAAGATTAAAATCGATGTGGGATAGGAACCACAAACTGCAAATGCTTTGCGGTTGAAGTTTTTCTAATGCAGTATGATTCATCATTTGACCTCTCAGGTACACGATGCATGGGCTCGAGGTGTCATTGCGGGAAAAACTGCCCGGGTCATAACAGCAATAATGGAGCACGGAATTGACGAAGGCAAAATTAGTGCTGATGATGTGGAACATCACTTGAAGATAATTGAGCTCAACTGCTTTACAAAATTTATGTACAAAATCTCCGAAGTCCTTTTTGTAAGTTGTTCAAGTTTTAGTATTTTTACCATCATAGTCCACTCCCATCAGTGGCGCCCCAGGATTTCCGTTTGGAGGGGGGGGGGGACAAAAAATTTTCCTGGTGCGGGTGGGTGGCGTTACCCACATACTCCGAAAAAATGTTTGGTATGCTTGCCAAAATTTTCGGGGACCCATAATCCCAATTCAAAAAAAAGGGGCGTGCCGCTAGGAACAAGTCGCTTGCACATCTTAACGCATTGACGACCGCTTGACACACATGATGTGTCAAGCAATGACTATCACGTTGGACCACTTGACACACCATGTGTGTCAAGGCTTGAATTTTGTTAAAATGACTACTACCCTGGTATAAACTCACCCGCGAGCTTTCGTTTGCACTGTACTCAGGAATGACCTCGACTTTTTTTGTCAGCCTTACAGTTCTACTGTAGGTGTACTGTTGATGGCACTATGCATAATTATAGTTGAAAAATGTGGGCTGGTCTGTAAAAGGCCATGGTCCCAAAAGTCAGACAGCCAAAAATCTGCATGGTCGTCAATGTGTTAATAACTCATGTGTGGTTCATCCCCGAGAATTATTCTCATGTGGACCATCAACGTTGCTGTCTTTCGATCATACATGTTCACATCGAATAATAAGCACCTCAAATTTGTTGACGTTAACATGTTAAAACGATCAAAAGGCAGCCACGTTGTTGTTTCATATGGGAACAACTCTGGGGATGCACGATAAGTAACTTTCAAAAGTTTCGCGACCCATGTGACTTATGCCTGTGTGTTCTCACTGACATGCATATCCTCAACTTGCATCTCCTAGTCGTTTTTTTTTCGGCCGTTTCGCCTAGGATAATTTTCATACAAAATCACTAGCTCAAGACACACTCTGCGGCTTTTACGTGAGTAAATAAATGTACAGAAAAAATTCCGTACGCAAGTTCCGCACTCTACACGTGTACGAAGACGATCACGAAAGCAAGTGACGACAATTCGTTATTCAGCAATGGATTTGTCACGATACCTGGTTAAATAAATTCGCAGAGATTGGTGAAAATGCTCTTTTATCCACAAAAAAGTCGATTGCCGTCAAGTATGTTTCTGAAAGAAATCTTGAAAGGTAACTACTTTTACTCAGCGACAGGGCAAGAACTAACTAAATGTGCTGAATTTTAGTTTGATGCTATCACAGACACACAGCGTGGATATCAGAAATGCATGAAATACACTTAAAGCAAAGCAAGCTCTACAAAATAACCAAATTTTCTTGAAAATCATGATTTACTTTAACTTGGAAGCCAAAACCAAAAGTGCTTTATTGAAACAAAAAAATGGATTTACTCAAATTTTCGAACACTTTTGGCTTCAACGTTTGAGCGAACTGCGATTTGCGTGGATATCTAGTAGTCATTTTGTAGTATATGCTTTCCTCCATATCGCTTCTAAGCGATTTTCGCGCTGCAGTTGTGGCATAAGAAAACCTCATTATTTTTGCATCAACCGATTAGCATAGCATAAGATCGCTGCTGTTGACGTTCGTTCTTGCTCTTGTACATGCTATAATCAGTAGCAGAGTTGTGTATTCTCTACTTCTATTATAGATGGTGGATCTTTCAAACTGGAGTTATGTGTGGTTACAGCATACTTCTTGCTTTCGCAAACTACGACAAAGTAACACTTTTTTACTTTCAAAATTTAAAGGTGTTTCAAATTTCAAACTTTGGAAGTCTCTTGGGGTGCAGCTTATGCTCAAGCGAGGCCATTGACGTAAGAACAGCAATACCAAGCGAATACAAAAGAAAATTATAGCTTACAAAATCATATAGGTTACGTATGTACACACCAGTTTTGTCATTGTAACGACAATGCAACAATCTGCTTAAAGGCAGCGTCCACGTGTGGACACATGGGAATCTCACGTGGATAGTAATTTTGGGGCGCTAACTAATCCAGTGAACAGGCAGCTCAGATGGCTGCAACGGCTGAGATGTTCCCCTCGAAACTGGATCCCATGATCGTATTTCGCATGGATTCATGGCGCAACGCGTGGGTCCGCGCGCGAAACTGCCATGAATTCATGCAAATACGATTCTGGAGTCCAGTGTGGAGGCATGTATTTCAGCCGTTAGTGAGTCCTGCCTGGAGCTGCCTTCAAAGTCCACTGAGAAGTCGTCTGTTCCAAATATAGTTGTCCAACTTCATCACAAATACCTTCTCAAATGCTCTCGCACGTGACTAGCCAATAAAGACGAAGAAAGCTTTGTTTGCGCTGTTGATGATGAGGATAGGACGCACAGATTCTTTACTCAAGCTCCTATAGGGCCGCATGCATCAACATGGGAGGGGATCGCAGCTTCCAATAGAGCTCCATATCCTGAAGTCCCAAATATCTGGATTCTACGCTGTTTACCTGTCCGTAGGTATTCCTACTATCCTTCACTATAAACATCTTGATAGGAGCGAGAAACTATACAAGCCGCATTTTCCAGCTTTTTGTATGATCCGGCGACCGACCGTATTTTCTTCAAATCCGTTCAAATCATTTTTCTTCCTTTAAAGTTAATGGAAACATGTCAACGTCTCGCTAATTATCTAACCGAATTACTTGAATTAGGGGCCTTTGTGCCTGTAAGCAGCGCCTTGCTCCATCACTCTTCGCACGAGGCCAACTACTCTATAATCGTATTTTCGTCCACATCCAGGTTGGCTCTTCGATTCTGACATTAGTAGACATCGGGGCCGGTAGTAATCCCCCTGACCTGGCGGCATGTTTCGCTGTCAGGTCGGCGTCATCTTTACGTGAAGTCGGCGCGAACTCCAACCTCAAGTCTGTGCCCTCCCAACCCTTTTCAACGCGTATTGGTCGAGGAGGTCATAGTGACCTTAGGGAACCTTACCTGGCAACTGAGGGTGCTAAAAACCTCCCTAAACAGATTTGTAGAGGAATGCAGGAGGTGCTGGCGGCAGCTTCGCGAACTGACCTGGCGGCATCTCGTCGAAATTTCAGCGCTGAGAGATGCCGCCAGGTCAGAGAGCACGAAACATAGCGTGCTCTTTTGAGAGATCAAGGTGCCACCATCCTGACGTGCCCCTACCATGTCGAGGTGGTGGCACCTTGCTGGCGCCGTCTGCAAGTTTGGGTAGTGCGGCATATCACACAATTTACATCGAGCGAAAAAATCAAAAAATTCTACTTTCCATCAAGAAACTATCATTTTTCTCATTATATGAGTTTTTCTTTTTTGAAACGACGATTTTCTTACAGAGAAAAAGTCTAGTAATGCCTGAGAACCATAAAGAACACCATCTTTTTTGAAAATCCCTTCTAAATCTCGTTTGCACCGATTTCGCCCCTCTCTCGCTCATATCAATCAGCTGTTCTTTCAGGTCAAAGTCTCTCACGCAATGTATCGATCCCTCTACAGGCGGCCACTTACCACTGCGTTCCTCCTATTGCTGGTGCAACCGTCAATGATTGACCGAGTGGTCGAATGGTTAACGTGGTGGCACTTGAAGTTAACGCACTTAGGTTCGACTGCGCGCGAGGTATCAGTTTTGCGGCTGTGTTAATGTGCGAAATATTGCGTACTAAGGTTAAGTAGGATTATTAAAACCTAGAATTACTCCGCGAGCTGCCGCTCAAGATGGCAACTTTCCGCGATGTGTGCCAACTTGGCGGCATCTTTGATGCCGCCAGGTAGGGTAGATTACTACCGGCCCGGCTTTCGCTAAACTTTTTCTCTTCCCCATACTAAACAGTTTTTTGCAAGTACGTAACCATGGATTTTTTATGAATTGCTGTGTATTCCGTACATTCCATTTTTAGAGGCTGCGTAAGATATAAATGACTCTTGATGTATTAGTAGTTTAGCAAGCCGAGCGAGGTTAGTACTTTATCAGTTAGTGGCGGCGACCTAGACCGCCACTGACTGGTAAAGTATTAATCGCGCTCAGCTTACTAACCTCATAACACATCCAAAATGCCGAGGCTCACAAAAAAAACTTGGAAATCATTTTTGAGTTAGTTTGGAAACAGAAACTAAACAACGATTGCAGTCTTGCAAATGTTGGAAAATTTGCACATCAAATTTTTGAGGTCAAAAATTTTGCTATGGGACTAGGTAGATCTTTGAGGATTCAATTTTTGTTTAGACGGGTAGTTTACCACTATAAAGAATGTTATGGTGTCTTTGAGGCAACAAATAGCTCAAGAAATGACTAGTTGAATACAGCAATCATTCTTTCTTCATCTCATTTCAGGTATCTGATGTGACTAGAGCAGTAATTTACATATTTTGCTCAGTAATTTATGTCATAATTTCTATACAAACAATTTACATAATTCATAAAGATAATGTACGATGGAGGAAAGAACACGAGGATACACAAGTGGGATGGTAGTAGAAAAGGAGAGAATAAAATAATCATTACAGGGAATGAACAAATATCGATCGATAAAAGATTTTGTGACTTCAAAGGAAATTATAGCTAATACGGTGTTATGGACATTGACTACAGTCGCATTCGCATTGAGCATTACAATACTCAACGAAGGTTTTTGTATCAGAGGAGCATATTTCAGTAGTAGTGAGGATTTTCCTTACATAAAAAGCAAAGATTTTGCTTTATGAAAATATCACTTAAAAGCGGTGACTCCGTAAATTCTCGAACACAAAAAATTCTTGCTTTTCTATATTTATTCAATTCGCTAAACCCCAAAATCCTCCTCATAGAGAATTGGCGAAACTCGGCGAACCTGATACTCCCAAGTAGACGAAAACTGATGCTCAGTTTTCGTGTACTTGGGAGTAAACGATCTATAGTCAAAATTACGTGATATTCACTTTTGCCGACCCACTGCCTTCAGTAACAATCACTTGTAATAACGGAATAATGTTATATCGAAATCCGTGCGTGTTTTAAATTGAAGTTTAGTGAAATGCCGTTTACTACGATTTTTCACCTTCCTGGCTATCCTATTTTCCACTGTGTATATGATCACAAGGATGACACCACTTCTTGTCGTTGTTATAAGAGAGCACTGCATCGAAATGATGGTAGGATTTCATTTGATGTCAAAATAGAACTTTGCTACGCTTCTTGACCTCCAAACGAGCTGGATCGCGGTTGTTTTGCTTCTTTGCACATGATTGTTACCTTTCGATCCAATATTTTCATGACCGAACGTCATTTACAGGCAAATAATCGATTTTAGGCAAGAATGAGCATCGTATATAGTTATGTTCATTGTGTAGTTACTCGTTTTACAAAAATGACTGTTTAGCTTTTGAGAGCAAGGATGCGTTTGGCGGTTTACCACTACCTGCATTATTTAATGTCACAGATTAAAATTGCGCCCGAATTGTTTAGTGAGGCTGCATACAAGACTGCTCGAAAAGAAGTGCATGTGTTCTTGAAGGTTATTATGATATCTACAGTCGTTTTATAATCTGTCCCAACGTTTATTTTAGGTCATCGAAGGTTTGATGCGCCTTGAGTTGAAAGAAAACGCTTCTGAAATTGATGTGATTGCAGTCATGAAGACTAGGCAAGCCATAAGGATGATGAGCTTTCAATTGCAAGAAACTCTGAACACTCTCAAAGCGTTAGTCATCTTTTGGCTGTGCTTTCCTGTTATTCTTAGAAGGACAAAAACAGTGTTGACCCCTTTTAAGAGAAGGCTTTATGCCACCAGATGCCAAGGAAAAATGGAGTGAGGTAGTGTCCGAATTGCATGATAGAGGCGACGGAATTTTGTGGATACCACAAATTGCATTCCTGTATGTTTGCATTAAAGAACTGGAACTTTTGAGCGTTATTTTTTCTTCAGGGATTGGCTGGAATGTGTCAAATGGATAGCGCCTTTACGAGCCAGTGGTAAACAAAAGATTATTGAGCTACTGAGTGAAACTCTAAGCCACTCAGTGGTCAGTTTTTTCGTTGGAAGCAGCTATGAATATAAGCAATCTTGGCAACGCTTGTATCACACTGTCATGCGAATTAAGTGGTAATTGCTCATAAAAAAATTATGACGTAGCAAAAATTCATAGTGTAGCAGCTACTTTCACCCGAGTTTTATAATGACAGAAAATGCGCGGCAACCTAAGCGACATCATGATCTCATGTTTATGAATCATGTTGAAATCGTGACTGTTTCCTCATAGCAGATGTTTTCAATACACTTCCGATATTTTTGTCTAAGCAAATACTTTTATATTTCATCGTTCAAGGTCCGTAAACTCAACTGTGGCGTTCGAATTCACACTGATGGTAAAACTATGTGGTTCCTGAAGAAAGGAGTTTGCAAGTAGCCAATCGAAATCTTGTATAAAAGAACTTCCGACAGAACAATTCAGAATAACCGAATGGGTGCCCTATCAAGTAAATCGTCATCATGAAGTCCACGCTGGCGAAGGAGAATTTATAGCGGAAAGAAATATTCTAAAATATCGATGGAAAGGCAAAAAGCTACCGCTTACATGGCCGAGGAGAAGGCAAGCTTTATGCCAGTCTTTGAGTTATTTGTGAAGAGGATGTGCTGAATCCAAGAGTTTGTCCACATGTGCTGTTGTTCTTGTTTTCGGATGTATTTTCAGTATTGACTTACTGTTAGCAAGGTTTTCCGAAAAGGGAAAAAATATTTTCTCTTCAATTTTTTTTCTCTTTTTAGTGTTCTTCTCATCTCGTCTTAGTCGCAAAGCTACCCCGTTGTATGTTTATTTTTATCTCTTTGTTTACATGTAGGCTTCTTTATTGCGTTTGCATAGGGCACACGTACATGGGAGTGGGACGTATGTTATAGGGCACTTTTCACTGTCAGAAACGAGTTACTGATTTTTGATTAAATATGAAAGCTGGAACGCTGTATAGGCGCATAAGTGAACCTGTTGTGCTGAAAGCAAGAACCGTTTCGACTTCATCAATTTTGCGCAAACTTACAGCTGTGGCGCAGGGACTGTACAGGAACTGCAGTTTCTAGATTTTCCATAGTAGGATAAAACGATTGATAAACTTCCGCAGGCGCCTAGCCAGAAACTTTACGCTCTTCACGTACTAAGCCACCGTTACCTTGTGAAGTTTTCAGATATGAAACCACCACATACTGCGAGATGATTGAGATAAGCGAAGAAATCATCGGGAAGATGCTGAAAATAGAACCGTCAATCTACACAATTATCAACAACAATGTTCAAGCTGATAGATTGATTACAGAGCTGCGACACATTCACAAGTAGTTCTTCTGCAATTGAAGGTCTAAAGTGTTATCATAATCTTTCAGAGAACACGATATTGTCACCGAATCATTTTGGAGCACTTTTGCAAGATGTGGTAAGTCACTGTCAAAAGCCGAAAAGCTGACCGTACCTGAAGGGCGACAGGGAATTGTTGGGTAAGCAAAGGAATCTGATGGTCTCTTTCATCTCCATTGCTCGTATCTTTTGTAGGTGTTGGACACAAATCACATTGATTGCTCCTCGAAAAGCACTCAATAATGATCTGTATATTCGAGGACCAGCAACTTTATGGTTGGAACCAGCAGATAAAAGAGGGGTGACTAATGTATACCTTACCTCAATTACTCGAGTCAAAAACTAGATAATGAGAGGGCAGAGGCTGAGCTGAGCAAGACAGATAAGGATGCAACTTTCTACATCACTGTGCTTTATTGACCGACAATGTGACCCATATAATGGGATATAGCTTGAGTATCGTTAAAATAGGCTTCTTTTCATGGAAAAGTCACTCACTGCAGGAGTTTTCTTACACGCTGGACCTAAAGACTTCCATATTTCGAGGCAAGCTCTCAGAGCTACGATTGATGTACTCACGTTGTTCTCAACGTGTTCATCTCAAAGGTATTGCCCAGGCACTTGTTTCTGCTACCTTATTTGGCGCACCACCCCTTAATCGGCTTGCTTGCCTTCGGAAAAGTCGGTTTATATATATGAATATATAAAACGGTTTATATATATGAATATCTCAGCCACGGGTACCATCTGCTCTGCCGCCTTGGCAGCAGCGGCGTCTTTGATAACTCAGCTAGGTCTCAAAATCTTTTCTTTGCTATCCTCGTGTCCACATTTGCCTGGCGCTGCCTTAAAGGCAGTGTCTCACCAAAATTTAGTTGCTGAGATTTTTGCATTTTGCAAGCCTCTCGGGCCCTGTCTAACACTGTGTGGGCTTAAAATCGCACGAAGTTCCCAAAAACCCCGTTTTCTGGAGGCCCCACGGAAGCAATGTGGACGAGTTGTACCTTCCAACTTCAACCTCAGCCACAGTGGCAGCAACAGAGGGGAGGTGGATGCCAAGTGGAGGGACATGTTCAAACGCGTAAGGGGGGAGACCAAAGGAGTCGTCCGCGCGTACCAACGTACCTGGCTCTCCGCGTACCACTTTGAGCGAATTTTTCTCAGCATGGAGGGGGTCAAATTGAGTGGGACTTGTTGCAATGGCCTATTTAGAGGTCCCTATAATAGAATATGTGAAGATCCGCGCGACTTCAACTTTGGTGAGACACTGCCTTTAAATCTTAAGGTTTGTCCAGAGTTGTCCGATCCGTGCCGGCATTGATACAGCACCGGAAGCGCCGCGGTAGCACTGCGTTGTCCCTGCGCCGGCTTAACACTGCCGGAAATTCGATTGAAATGTGCTAAATGTTCAGGAACTCTACAATTCGCTTGTTTTGCTTCACCTTGCATTTCTCTCCAGCGTTCTTCTGCGCTCCAGATATCGCCGAAAAACGTCGAAAAACTTTCGTTTCTGAAATGTCAGTGACAGAGAGACTTTACCAAAGAACAGCCTATGGGAGGAATAGGAAGGGAAAGGATGCAGAAGAAAGCTAGAGAGGGTGGAAACACACTGAAGCACAAGAGGAAGTTTTGGCATTCCTGGGTAGGTTAAAGCACGTATTCCGAACCCATCAAAGCCTCTGGTAGCGTTGTGCCGTAGCTGGTAGAGCTCTATGCTGGTATCGCATTTGTTTCGGCGCAGGTCGAGAAACTCTGAGCGAATCTAAAGCAGCTCTTTTCTCACTCTTATTCCCTTCAACTCAACTCTCCGTTAGCTTGGTAAAACACCTTCTACTATAGTAGTGGGTGATAATGCAACAGTAAAGCGATTTCATCATCGCGATTCTGTGCAGGGAATTTTCTTGATCAGAGCGAGGAATTCACTTTTGAATCGCTGGTCGCGGGCTTTGGACATGTTTACCTGTTCAGCGATAAGGTGAAAATACACACTTCATTACTCTTCCTACGTTTTCTTCTGGCATCCAAAAGCAGTATTTAGCGTGCTTTTTCCACATTTGCAGATTTCTTGCTTTTTCGACACCGATAAGTTCAACATCAAAAGTTTATATAGTTTCTCGTGAATTTGCATCGATCGTTCAACCTTTCTCATTAGATAACAGGACCCGCCTTTTTCTCAAGTTGTAGCTACAGTTTCATACGTTGATAATTTTTCGCGATATTTAAATCTAGATATTACGCATGTTATACAATTGCGAGTTTCAAACAGTTAAAAATAATCATTTCGAATGATTAGCGACCTTATGGGTCGCTAGTAAGTGGGTCGGGCAGATACATTATTAACCATCTAGTTGCGACTATAAATATATTTGCATTTTCCACTCATTTTATGGAAACTATTTGTAAAAACAAAACCAAAATAAGTCGCGAAAAAGTGAAGAGGTACTAATCCAGTCAACACTTCATGAGATTCCCGTCACAACATTATAACATTTTGAGAATTCATACTTCCTCGAATACTACGCGCTCCCATCCAAATCCGTTCTCCACGCAGATTCATAGAAAAACAACAAAGTCCCCCCTCCCCCTTCCTCCTTTTTGCCAGCAAAAGAAGGTATGTTTTAAAGGCAGTAGGTCGGCAGAATGAGACCCGTGGCAAAACAAGGTCACAGGGAAGGAGCGCCGTAGTGGAACCTATGGGCCAAAGTTCGATCTTGCTCTGCCACTTCTAACCCCCGAAATTTCAAAGCGAAAGCAGCGCTCATCTCCTGTCCTCTCCGAACCCGCCCACCCCATGGACGGGTGAACGCGAAGCCCGTCATGGCGAAGACGCAGAGTCGTTGCGGGACCTCATGCTTATAGCATTGCGGCTGGCGCTCTGACCGCGGAAGTCACTCGTCTATGGGGTGGGCGGGTTCGGAGATGACAGGAGATGAGCGTTGCTTTCGCTTTGAAATTTCGGGGGTTAGAAGGGCAGAGAAAGATCGAACTTTGGCCCATAGGTTCCATTATGGGGCTCCTATCCTGTGACCTTGTTTTGCCACGGGTCTCATTCTGCCGACCCACTGCCTTTAAGCCCTTTACCCACAACTTTCACGAAAATCGCTAGAAAGCAAAACACAACAAGTATCCTTCGAACAATTCTTTTTTTTGCCTCAGTTAATCAGCTCTTTCAGAGCTTTTCAAAGAACCCTTCAAGTTGAAATTTTGTCAGATTATGAATATGAAAGATCACCATGAAAACGAGATACCTTTTTTTCCAAAAAAACTATAATGGGATCCTCTTGCGCTATCTTGTTACAATACTCGGTGACTTCTGGGCAACATGGAGCTAATCTATGTATACTTTTGATACCATTCCGAGAATCTTCTTCGGGCTAAACTTTTACAGCAATTGATGATAGTCACAAAAGCAGCGAATTTCAAAACGAGAATCTATCTTTCAAAGCACTTAGCTTGACACTCCGAAATTGTATTCTCGAAGAATTTTAGCAACGGAAACAAATGTTTTTTCATGCCTGACGCGCCGCCTACAGACCATTTTGATAAAGAACAGCTCAACGAATCAACAGAGCGATACTGAAAGCCCTCAGTCCAATATTTTGAAAAAGTGCTACCCTAAGAGCAGCTTGGAATGGAAAGGAATTGAACATATGTCTCGTGTTCTCGAAATATTAGGTCATTCGGAAAGTTTTTCCGTTTTCGCACCTTCAAATTCAAACGAGCACAATTTTTTTCAGATTCAACCTTTTTCCATCAAATAACTGCATTGTGTTCAGCAAATTTCTTTTACCACTCGAGTAGTCCTCCTGTACTTCTTTCTTGCGAAATAATTACAAAGGAATCAATAAGGCCTTAAAAGGCGTTTTTGACTAGCTAATATTTATTAAGTCCTATAATTTTTTGATAGGCACCGAGGAATAAGAAAATTTGGTGAATGGTAAAGGAAGGTCTAAAGAGTTTGAAAATAAAACAGGAACCTTGGTGCCAATCAACCCTTTTGTGAGAGCCATTTTTCTTACATGTGGTTTGGCGGAGTCATTGGCGTGGATGGCATCTCTCATAACTTATGCGTACAAGTTTGCTCAGTTTTGAAATTTTGGCAAACGGTCTTCAGAACGATATCACACTACTCTGCTCTTAAAGTACAAGTGCATCTTAGCAAGATTATAGCCTACAAGACCAGCAGGATTACATTAATTTGAGTACATCAACCTTTTGGAATGACCGATTGCTCTGGCCATGCTTTCAATGCTTATTCCAGATGATTGCACTTGCATATTCCTGCACTTGGTCCTGTTAAGCAAAACCTACAGTTCCTTTTATGCATTTCGCGTTTTATAGGCAGGAATGGTTTTCTTTGATAAGCTTCGATACGAGAACAACGATAATCGCCAGGAAGAAATAAGTTCTTGCATTTCCTTCATACGTGAGGGCCCCGAAAAGGTAAGTTTTTCAATCAAGTGGGAAAGGTTGTGACTGCTACACAATGTCTAGAGCTTCTCGATCATTACTATTCTTTATTCTTTTCAGAAACTGCTTGCATTTTCGGTGGAGGAATAAGCTTTGTCATGTACATCAATGTCCAAAAAGAAGAGTACCAAATCCATAACCTTAAAAAATCAATATGATTGACATTTGTTTGTGAATAAAGTTGTTTGTTTGTTTTTTCCTAACTAAAACAGTAATCTTGAGTCATCACAAGGAAGTTTTGGTATTGCAATGATCTTGCTTGCTGCTACTAATGAATGCTACAGCTAAAATATACAACTCATTGCTCGGTAAGGCTGCGTTCATACTGATCTGGAAGTTCGGGAAGAGTTCCAAGACAACCCTCAAAGAATTCGGGATCAGTATCGCAGCCTAAAGAATCATCGTTAGATTTCTTTGTACGAGGACCAACGAAGCTGAACCTCACTTCCTTTTGGACATGCATAACAGAAAATATGAATTGCCTTTCGCAACGAATTTCCGGCTCCTTCTATTAAAGATATTGTTGACTTAAATCTACAGCAGTGAAAAGCGATTAATACTACCAAAATAGTCATGTAGAAGGGTGATAAAGCCCACTTACATCTCGCGGTAAATCGAGACGAGAGCAAGGAGGAGCGAAAACGGAGAAAGGGTAAGTCTTTGAAAGAACCAAATATTTTGTTCCTCCGCTGAGCTGACTTAACCCACAGTCAGAGTGGGATAAGGAACGTCAGTTGGTATATACATGTAACTCAAAAATTCATTTAAAACTGATTAAATTAAATTTAACTCGTTGATAATAGCTTGGGTGACATTATTAGTAACACAACTGCCAATTTCTAGGTTGATGAGAAAATGAGATTGATAGTTGCCATCATTGTGTCCTCTGCAGTACATTGTTCTCCTGCTTAAGGAATTCTTCCAAATTTATCTCGCTTCTCTTGTAAAGCTTGACGCTTTCCCATTCACTTGCATCCAATTGAATCGTTTTGTATTCTGGATCTCGTGCCGATCGAACTTCTATCATTGGACGTTTGGCCTTCCTGAAAGATACATCATTTTTCAAAAGTCCAATTAAAGTAATTGGGCATGATTATTTATTTGTAGTTACTCAACACTAGAGCTGTTTTAATGGAAACTAAAATTTTTACGGATAGAACTACACGTAATTAGCCTTTTCAATCAAGTATGTTTGTAATGGATCTGAAGAAAAAGTGTGAATACTGTAACAATGTCATGTTTTGAGCGCGAAAAAAAATTTTGTTCAAGAATGGTAGGATGACTTTTGCCAATCTAAAAGCTGAACCATAAGTGTTAATACCGTGGAAACGTATTTGTATGTTTGTAAAAATAACTGAATCAGACAGGATTGTGCTCATATAAATAATTGAATCAAACGGAAAACGCACATTACTCTGGGTGGAGGAACTTTGATGTGTTTAGGCTCTGATGGTTTTTCTGAAAGTATCACCACGTCTTGAGATCAAAAAACAACGAAGCTTGCAGCAGAAAGCAACGTCGAAGTATAGATATTACAAACGTTGCTTTCAGATGCAAAAATTTTAACTTGCTTACCTCTTGGAGGGATCTGAAACACTAGCGCCATGTTTAGAGTGGCTGTAAACTAATTCTCCACCTACCTGACGTTTCGAGGAACTCGTTTTCTCTTCCGTTTCAGTTTCCTTTTCTTTGTCTTTTTGTTTCTTCTTCAAAAATTCTTGCGTACCTCCTGATGGCATATTAGCAGTTGGTGATAATGGTACCACCTTTTTTGGGGAATCCATGCTCTCCTTCTTCACATTTTTCTTCGTATCGGTGCTCACCGCAGTTTTGCGTCGAACACACATTGTTCTAAAATCGAAATTCTGCCTCTTCTCAATGCTTTTCTTTATGAATTTAATCTACCAAACATGTTGGAATATTGGAATGTCTATTTTTGTGGAATTCGTGGAAAATTTTATCAATTTTATAGTGAAGGAAGAGTATGAAGAGAGTATCGTAACGCCACGAAACACGGCTAACCGGGGCTGAAGCGATCAAGATTCGCTGCCCACTGACTATGTTCTGAGAAGGTGAACTCGTTCCAATATCTGGGACAAATAGAGCGCTGACTGGGTGACTGCTTCGCACTCAGTTATTATAAAGGTTTGACGAGTTTGGTAGCGTCTCTAGAAGTAGAGTGAATTATGATGCATGCATGCACGTGAAAATTAAATTTTTTGCACTGACCAATCCTTCTGAGAACTCACAAGGAGAGGATACTTAGTCGAAAGCACCAATCCAGATGAGACATAAATCATCTTGAAGCGCTTGAAACGCTGATTCCAAATCTGCAGTTTCTAGCTGCGGAGCGGTTTTGTAAAAGGAGTTATGAAGGGTGTTCCCCTCTGGGGTTTAGGCACCCTCCAGCGGTCTCCCCTTATCTGTAAGCACTGTAGAGGAGTATCAGCTGATGGCAACTGACCTAATGGTAAGTAACTTGAATGAAGATTACAGTAAAGATTATAATACTCATATTACTTTGGTTTTTTTAACATTTCTAACTTCGATTGGTATCAAGATCATCAGAGGTTTCATGCTTTAGGGCTTTAAAGCCATTTAGAAGTCCAATTTAGCATGCGAAAGGGATTAAAACCTTGATACTCTCTTCATCAAGCACGTCACTTACCACTAGGTCGATTGCCACCAGTTGGTACTCCTCTACAGTGCTCATAAGTAGGGGAAACCTGGTGGAGGGCGCCTCAACCCCAGACGAACACCCCTCATAACTCCCTCTACAAAACCGCTCCGCAGCTAGAAACTGCAGATTTGGAATCAGCGTTTCAAGCGCTTCAAGATGATATATGCCTCATCTGGATTGGTGCTTTCGACTAAGTATCCTGTCCTTGTCAGTTATCAATGGTGCATAGGTTTTCTTGATGGTTGGACTACAGTGCGCGTTGTTGCGACGCCAATCTGGCACAGAAACAGAAATATGGGCTTTTGCACGTGGTATCAAAACGGGCCAAGGTTTACATCAACAAAGTTTTGACTTACTGGAAAGATTCTGCTTATATTTGAATTGCACCTAATTAATTCTAGTCAGATCTATTCGTCATTTTCTTCCCTTTTTTACTAGCATCATTTAAGAAGTGCGACTGTAAAGTGCAGAAAGAACTAATTTCTCGGCGGCCAATGGATCATAGCGCAGCAACATTAGTGGAAAGCGTGAAATTAGCAAATATAAACCGCACTTGAGAACTCCACTTGAGACAAAGACGGGTAAAAGAGGAAATGACCGAAATAACATCTCCCTTGATTAATGCTGCCAATTGAATCGTGGTATAATGCCTGAGGTGGATAGTTTGCAAACGCCTGCAAGCCTTATGTTAGGCCATGTGGACGCCTAAACAGCCTGCGGATCGCCATCGCAGTATTGGGATGGACAGGCGAACGTCAGTTGAGACTAAAGTGACTACCACAGCCCCACAGCCTTACGTTGTCTGTGTTATAAGAGCGGGGCGGGCCTATCCAAAACAACCGGACTAATAGACTACTCATTGCACACTACAACCGTTCGAAATCATGTGATGTTTGCAAACTTATAAGAGTGGCACTTGATTCCCGCGACCATACCAAATATGATGTACAGTCTGCCCCAATTCAAAAAGGCCAAAATTGGCATGGCGGGAGTCCGCGTCGCTAGGCTTTCGCGGTCACGCCCACGGTCTGCTTCTCTGCTCTTTCTGCAATCCTTTTGCTCTTTCCGACAGCGCGCATATGCAGCGCAGACCGCCAGCGCTGCGAGGGCGCAAATTTACGTTGACGGTTCGGCGTGATCCGGAAGCAGACTGCATAGGCTGCTGCATGACGAAGGCGCAATATCTTTGGGCGCGAACGAAGTTTTATTAGCCGTAAAGCGTGTGAGGCGCAGAATTTACAACGGTGATAATACGAAAAAAACGCATGTGGACTGATCAAGGGATTACACCGGGCTCAACTAATAATGTTTCTGCGCCTTCGTCATGCAGTAGCCTGCTTATTAGATACAAAAGTAGTTCAGATCTGTATTTGTTGTTTGCCATGAATTTATATGGTAAGCATGATTGTTTGGTTGTTAAAAGCTTCATAATAGAGAGCAATAAATAAGGCGACTCATCAGCGTATGTGGACTGACCAAGTTAAGCTTTCAAAATAACTTCAATAACTTTAGTGGATGACGGACGAATCTCGTGTAAACTGATCTAACTTTCCTCGGGTTCGAAGAATTGCGTCCGCTCAAGGAACCGTATAGCAGATTTAAAGAAGCAAAGAAAAGCCTAGTTCAAATTAACACTCAAAAGCACATCTAACGGGGTGCACCACGTAAATGTTCACGGTCACTTGGTTCATTTGGCTGTAAAACTTCCCAGAAGATTACGTACAGTGGCAGCGTACTACAAACCTTCTCCAGTTCTTCGTACTACAAGCCGGCTCGCACTGGCTTTACTATCTTGCATTACCATTCTCGCGTAAGATGGTATTGAAACTCTCTCGCATTGCTCGTTATCACAATTAAATTGTAAACAACTACTTACATATTTCGAAAGCTTTTTGGTAAGATCGGTAATTTCGCGTGAATTGAAGTTTTCGCAGAAGAAGATATGCAAATTTGAATCAGTCTAAAATCTTTTCATGACCTAGTAGCGCCATAAAGAAAACAAGAAACGAACACCTTGAGCTACATCCCTGTGCAAAAATCTCCTCAAATGCTCAGATAAAACCTTAACAAACTCGCCAATTGCCCAGCCATTTCTTATCGACGCCGTTTCCGTAAAGTGGCAGACTTTTGATAACTTTTTTGCACTAAACTTCCTTAGCCCGTTGTTATAGCCATGATAGCAGCGCAAACCTGAGCTACAAGACAGAACACCGTGTGCAAGGCTTACTCGTAATTTCGAAAAATAGAATTAGAAATTGTACGATTTCGTTTTTATCCAATTATATCTCAGATACCCAAATGCAAGATTAATGCCAATGGTGTCACCCTTTCACAGTGTGGAAAACTATTACTGCCGTTAGAAGCTTTCCATGCTCATTACACCGTTTGAGGACGAGTAGACCCCCATCGGCTTTATTTATTCATCTAAGGTTTTGCTGGAAACTGCTTTGCGTGTTGCAAACATACTAGTGCTTCACTATTAAAAGCAGAGACCTCAGCATTACATCAAAATGCCAGCCGCGCAAATTGACATTTAAAAATTTCCATTTTACACCGCGAGCACAGACTTTGTCATCAGCCTAATTCGCTGTGTTTCATTGAGAAGAGCCAAAAACTCACGGCTGCTCTTCACTGTCGAAACTAAAAATAGCAAAAGCTTTACCACAGCCAACTTTTTGATTAAGTCCTATCTTTATCAAATTATCAACCCGAAAGAAGTCCATTTTTCGAATCTCACTTCTTTCTGGCTAGGTAGCAATTAATTTACGGTAACCAATTCAACTCGCAAATATAGAGTTTGCGCATCCGCGGAGGATCCCATAGTACCTCGGCACAGAAATCTAAAGTTACCGCTCTGATTTAGAACAGACCAGTTTTGGATAACATACATAAGGGTTTAATCAGACTTCGACGCCACGCGTACGCTGCTTGCACTTTTGCCTACGCTCACAAGAGCATATTGACACGGGCTGCGGTGGCCCCGAAAGTAAACTGAATTGCTACGTTGACGACGAGTTGTTTTTATGGCTCGCCTCATAAACGGTCCGTTTAAATCAACAGCTCCTGAAGAGCTTTACAACTATGAATTGGGCAAGACTGGGGTTATCGACAAGCCAGAAATGGTCAGAAACACTGCTCCACTCAGAAGAAATGCACCCTTTATAAAGATTTCGAATAGAATTCGAAGACTAATTTTTCATGATGCATTAAGTTGACACGGAACTACTGTCGGTATTACCGCGGATAGTAAAAACTAGAAAAAAATCATTGGCGCACAAGAAAGAGAGAAGCGAGTTTCACCTACTTTACAGTGAGATTGCTTAAACGTCCACAAAAACTTTGATGCATGTGTATTTTAAAGCCAAAACAAAAAATTAAATTAGTCAGGTTTTTCCAGAGAGGTTTTCCAGATTATCACGCATTTTCCACATCGGAAGTTAATAAGTGCAAATATTGTGGTTACTTTCGTTCGAAATAATTGAGAAAAAACAATCCCAAAATACAAAAGTGTCATTTTCGGGCTCTCTGTGCTAAATCTGATACTTCTCAAGAATAAGCGAATGTGAAGTTCTGCAAGTCACTGTTGTAGCTCCGAGGATTGATGTATTGAACTTATGTATGGTGCTTTCAATCTCTGTTTTCCCTGTTTTTCGGTTCTAAAAAATACAACGAAATGCACATAATGTCCGACATGGAGAATATGTGAAAGCAATTCATCAGATTGTCCGTAAATTGCTGGTTCTGCAACTTGATTCATGGAAATATCATATCTCAAGATCAAGTAAAAACCAAGCAAAAGACTATTTGAAGCGAGCTCATTTGTTTCAGTAGATACTCTTGGTGTGAACCGGGAACCAAGTTTTTGGTTAATTGTCTAGCAGGTTGTAGATCTTTTAAAAGTGAGTGCTATCCCCCTTTTAGCCATAAGCTATCAAAAGGTATCCACGTAAGGACGATTTTGGAATTTTTTGCAAAACAAAAATTTTAGGGATCTGAATACTACATTTTCTCAAGCTTTTTTCGTGGCTGTGACCTGGGAGAATATCCTGGCAATTGTGCGCGTAAGTAAGTCTTATTGTTAGACAGTTCCGCTTGATTCTATTGATTTCGGACGTGCACGTGGCTAAAGATATCAAAATAAAATTTGTGCACCAATTTCACTTTTGACTGCCGAATTCAGTTTATACCTTGAAGCAAAGGGCGCTCTTTCTAGAAATTGAAAAATCTGCTGTCAGTTTCCCTCACATTTCTTCATTGATGCGTAATTTCTGTCCAAACAGCTAATAGTTTCTGCAGAGCCTCCCCCTTATGCCTTACCTTTTTCATAATTTTCGGCAAGTTGGAGCAACCAGCCAGCTGATGGGACATGACTGTTCTCTGGTATCTGATTATTTCCGCAAAGTACCGCATTACCTGTACTACTATCCCTTCCTCGTTTTCCTCGTTTTTTTTTGATATGCAGCCACATCATGTTTTCTAATTTGGAATGAGCACCTTCGATCCAAGCTTTCTCAAAAGAAGAATTTTGCGAGTGAGCAAAGCGTATTTTTGGTGCCGCCAGAGTAATGACCGGTTCTGCAGAAAAGAGGACCTTCTAAATAACTTACAGCTTTACAGGAGTTTACCACTTTCAAATGATGTGTGCAGCAACTATTTATAGGCTTACTATTTTTTTTTTCAAATCTGAGTACGGTTAGCGCGGCGCGTGCTCTTGTGTGCAGCGTCGCTTGTGGCTCTCGTTGCGTTTTTCCTCTGCAGTTACGGCAATTTCCAATGCTTGCTTGCGGGAATCACCGTATCCCTAGGCACAAATGGCTGACATTGGAAAAATTCCTTGAGACAAGTTCGCGAACGCGTCGAGTGGCCCAAGCGGAGCAACTCGTGAGGACCCGAGCCCCGCCGACTGTGAGGCTCAGATTGAAAACCCTTTAAGTTGAAATGCCAACATTCCACCATTGTGATGTATCTTCTTATCCTCTGCAGACACTCATTTATTTTGTTTACTCATTCGCATTCAGGTACTCGAGTAAGCTACACGACTGAAACTCAAAGAGCAGGCTATTTGAAGTTGTTGTGGTGTTTGCAGCTGGGGTATGAACGAAGAACTACATTTCAATCAGCATTTACTTGAAACATCAGAGGCAACTCAAAAGAAGATATTTATTGTTGCTGAATATGTGAGAATTTTGAACCGTTCAAGCCGCCACTTCGACTGCTGCCTTGCGAGTGGGAATATTGCTCTGAAAGCGAAATTTATATGGTGATAGTACTTTTTCAGTTGAAAGCCTTCTTTCGCTAGAATTGTATGGAGCAAACTATAGTAATTTTATGTAAGAGAGCTCTTTTACAGGTCTATGCTGCCAAATGCCTACGAGCATGAATAAACCTAAGATAGAATCAGGGCACGGCACAAGTGGCTTATAAGCAAGTAGGATGTCATTTTTGGGACAAGAAGCAAAGAGGGTACGTTTTTGCGGTTTGAAAAAACACAAGTTGACTAGGTTTTCTTCTTCAGTCGACATTCCAATTTCAGATCAAAGGGACTTCGTAAAAATTTTCAGAAAGGCAGAGGAGACTTAGTTGCATATTCGGAAAGCCAACTCGTGCCGAGCTCTAGGTAGAATTACTGTTTAACAGATTACGGATTACACAGAACCCGTGAATTTGCCTATAAATCTTAGTCCTTGTAGGCTTCATTTCAAAACAAAACTTTTTACTCTTGCAGTGCATTTTCGTTTGTATGAATACGCTCTCAGACTATGACAATAGCAATCTCATTGCTGGATATCTGCTGAAACGAAAACGTTTTCTTACCTTGAATTCTTTCTTTTCGATATCTTCATCTTTGATATCACTCCGTTTCATAATCTTGACACTTTCCCATTCGCTTACGTCCAGCTCCAGCGTTTTGTACTCAGGATCTGTTGCAGACCGCTTCTGGTTCATTGGGCGTTTCGCTTTTCTGAAAATAGCCGGTTTAATGAAGTTGCCTAATTGAGCAATGTCAGAGAAGATTTCGTTGGCATTTTCCATAATTCTACACTGGTTGTTCTATCACTATCTACTTTGATACTTGCCGCTGTTACATGACACTTTAGAAATCTTGGAAGCTTACGCTATTCCACTGCTGTTATACCACCTTGATATTAGGTTGGTCCATAAGTCTTTTATTGAATCAACTGATTTTGCATTCAGAATCCTTTAAAACCCACATATACCATTCGACTAAAGCCCTAGAGTTTCTGCAAGGTAGCACTCAAATATTAGGTTGTCCGGAAATTAATGTCCGTTTTAGATTTCAACTGCAATAACTCATACGTTTTTCATTCCTGAATAGTTCTCAAAGTACCATTCGATAGAGCAAAACAAGCTCTTCAAGATGGCGGTCTTGCTTGAGCAACAGTTCTGATCTTCCTCAAGTTTGGAGCCAAAAAACTAAAATGATTCAACTGCCTGAAAAATCGAGAAAAATCATAACTCAGTACGTAAGAATTCTATAAAAATTCTAACTAGCTTTCGTAAACACTTTTCCCATAAGACATATATGTACGCCGTTGCCGTACTTTTTCCTCTGTTAGAAATCAAGAAAGCGGAAATTTGCATGTTTTTGCCAAAGAGATGCTGTGCCGTCCCCACTTAAGTAGAAGTATACTACAAATCTGTAGAAGTACAAACATGGACTTCCAGCTCTCCTACAAGCTTTAGTTCTCGAAAGATTTGTTTTAGCTTGGACCACCTGGCTAATGAAAGCTATTTTTCGATATTTTTCGAGAACTAAAGCTTGTAGAGAGCTGAAAGTCCACGTTTGTACTTCTACAGATTTGTAGTATACATCTACTTATGTGGGGACGGCACAGCATCACTTTGGCAAAAACATGCTTACAGAGGAAAAAATACGGCAACGGCGTACAATATGTCTTATGTAGATGGTGTTTACGTGAGCGAGTTAGAATTTATGTAGGATTCTTATGCACTGAGTTATGATTTTTCTCGATTTTTCGGGCAGTTGAATCATTTTACTTTTTGGTTCCAAACTTGAGCTTTCATGTCTCCCGCACCCTTTTTCCAGTACTCCTGAGTCTCCCGCACCTCTTTTCCAGTGCTCTCATGTCTCCCGCACCCTTTTTCCAGTAGCTGTTGCTTAAGCAAGATCGCCATCTTGCAAAGCTTGCTTTGCTCTTCGAATGGTACTTTGAAGCCTATTCAGGAATGAAAAATGTATGAGTTATTGCAGTTGAAAACGAAAACGAACATTAATTTCCGGACAACATAATATTTGCCATAATTCTGACGCCAGCTTGACTTCGCTTGGAAGGCCGAAGTCAAATGAGTCCGAGTGCATGTGGATCTTTGCTTACAGGAGTTTTGATGCTGTTTCTCATTCAAATACGATTGGTTTCCTGAGATTTGAAAATGCATACTGCGACTGAATTAGAAAGAAAAAAAGAAGCAGTACAACGATGTTATAAAACTTCGTTCTTATCCATAAGAATTTTCTTTGCTGCTTTGCTTCTGCAATCAACAGAAGTACTTGTCTTTATAGAAAAAACGGGTTCTGACGTAGACACTTCTATCCGAACAAAGCGATATGATGTTTCAGAGGACATTCTCATTGAAGCGCGTGAAGGAGCTACGATAACCTGTTCTGGCAGCTGGGTTATGTGTGATTTGACAGCCAAGGCCTTCTTTACCTGTTTTACTAGTGTTACTCTTGTTACCAGCGTTACTGGTGTTACCCTCGTTACTCGTGTTACTCATGTTACTGATATTACTAGGGTTGCTGTCGACTATTGAAATGATCACAATACAGTTTCATTTCAGAACGCAACACCACTGACTGGTGGACAACTCGGATAACAAGCAAACTCTGCCAATATTATGCACACCTGCGCAGCTGAACATGTGCAAGATTCCTTGGGTAGTAATGATGAGTGCGTCATCTACATCTACAGCCATATTCAACGAAAATATTGAATGAAATTCATTTGACAATCTCTCTACTCACAAGGGAAGGACCCTCGGTCAAAGTGGAGTTTCCACACGTGATGCATGTCACTGTGCTGGTTTGGGGCACTAGTAACAAATTCGTGCTCCTTAGCTGCTCAATGACCTTCTGAGAAAAGTTACGAGCGATGGTTCACCCAGGATGACCACGGATCGCTTAAATTCTGCTGCATGACGAAGGCGCAGAAGCGACGTTAGTTGAGCGGGCGCGACCGCGGCTGTATTAGCTGCAGAGCGCATGAGACGAAGTATTTACAACGGTGAAACTGCGCGCGCGTCGCGTTCGCGCCCGCACAACTAACATCGCTTTGAGCCTTCGTCATGCAGCAGCCTATAAGTTAGCCGCGCCAAACGTCAATTGTGAAGGTAAGGCCGAGTGGATAGCTGCGGAGACTATAGAGGAAGTGGCAAAACCTTTGGAATACTTGTTTGTTGTTGTTTGTTGTTGTTGTGTTTTTGTCAATGTTTCAAACATTCTTGCATTTTTGCAAATTATTTAACGGGTGCCGGGTGTTTCTCTGCCTTATGGCCCTCTAAGGATACATATCAAACAATACAATCTACAGAATGGAAGTATTTTAGAACATAAGTATCCCAAACTTTTCACCACTTCCTTCAACTCTCCACAGTTATCCACTCGGCCTTACCTTCCAGCTGACATTTCTCGGCGCCGCTAACTCAAGCGATTCGTGGTCATCCTGGGTAAACCATCGCTCGTAGCTTTTCTCAGAAGATCACTAAGCAGCTAAGGAACACGGGTTTGTCATTGGTGCCCCAAAACCAGCACAATGATATACATCACGTGCGATAACCCCACTTCGATCAAATGTCCTTCCCTTGTTACAAAAACTGATTCATCATTTCATCGAAAAACTCACATGATCCGTGGAGGTGGCACTTTAATGTGCAGCGGCTCCTTTGGCTTTTCTTCTAGAATAATGTCATAATGTCAAGTAAAATGTAAAGACGGGCACAAGCTCTCTATTTTTCAAATGTTGAAAATTTAAAGCAAAACCCACGTACTTTTCAATGCCGTCTGAAAAAAACTTTATAGTTTTCACAGTCTTTAAATATGCAGACATGCAAATTTTGTAGAAGGAGTAAGAGAACGGGTAAAAAAATGAAACTGTGGCAATTAGTCGGACGATCAAGCATGTACTTTTATTGGTATGTAAATACCGGTAAAGGTGTTCCACTACAAACCCGTATCGGCCTAATAGCTCAAGATTATTTCTTCTGAATTGTAATTTTTTTTATAACTGCAAGTTTATTGGCACTGTTGCCCACAATCTACAGGAAAAGCGTTTTAGTCAAGGTGGCCTATTTTAGTAAAAAAACGAAAATCATTTTTATTAGAATCTTGAACGCTAATTCCAAATTTGTCCGTATCTGTTGCATTCTCTTGGATGCCGATGAGCGTTTTTTGAACCAAAAACGTGGGATTCACTCAAAATCAATGTGTGTTGTGTGTTGTGTGTGTATCTGGTCTGTCTATCCTATCTGTCTATCTACTGTCCATCTGTCTTATCTATCTATCTGTCTATCTGTCTATCTATGCGTCTGTCTATCTATCTGTCTGTCCGTTACGAAACTTGTAGAACGTGTTCCAGCCAACGTCCTGAGCCCAAATTTTGCACGGCTTGTGCTAACAGCATGGAAGTCTATCATGCAAAAGCGGGAGCGGATCCGTTAAGCCCCGGGCAGACTTCACGCAATTTGATCGTCGCGACTGAATCGCGACGAGACAACTGTTACAACACCATTCCATGCCGATCAAATTGCATTCGGTTGTGATGCTTTTCCAGCCCGAAATTTTTGAATGTGAAATGAAAATGAATGGAAATCTTGGCGATTAGATCGCGACGATCAAATCGCGTGAAGTTTGCCCGGGGCTGTAGGTGTATCCTTCAAAAACTGAGTACCATTTGGTTCCTGGTCGGCAAAATTGAGCCTGTAGCACCACTTTTTGCAAAGTCATGGATATGTTTGACAAGTAAATGTGCAAGCCATGGACATTACCAAAAAATGGTCAAAAGTCTACTTTACGAAAATGGCGCCAAGCCCCAGTGATTATGGTCCTTAAGGTGACTACGAAGCTAACAACTCTAAAAACCTATCTGAATTTGCATTTGTTTCTTTGGGGAAAGTCTCATCCACGCGAAATTACCGATCTCACATGAAAAGCTATAGAAATGAATAGCTGTTTACAAATCATTCGTGATAGTCTGCATAGCGCGGAGAGTTTCATTGTCATTAACGCGAGAATGAGTAAAGCATAGGTAGGTGCCAGAGTAAGCGAATAGGGTCCCGCGCAGAATTGACGTCACTTGGATTGGCCAGCATTGTGAGAGGCGTCAATTCTGCACGGGACCCCAACCTGAACAAAATATTCGCTTACTCTGGCACCTACCATAGAGATAGTGGGACCAAAGCAGAGGTGACAGCTCACATGAATTTCACTTCAGAACCGATAAACCTAATTTTATCGCAAACGATATTATGCCTTTTCTCGTGGTTTCGATGGTAAAATTCGGCAAGAAAAAAGTTGCGAAACCCCCAAAAAACTAGATTTGAATGTGGTAACGTTCCGCTAATCTGATAAGTAGTCGCTGTAAGATTTCGCCCAACCGCCAATTAGAGAAATCAATTTAGTGACTTTGGGACGGCCTACGCGATTATCAAATGCAAGCAGTACCAACAATAAGCTTTCAAATTTCACTCAAAATTTGAATATCCCTCTATTCCCTAAAAGACGAGCATGAAGGAAACCACTGAACAATGCTGGTACATGCGTGATCTTTTCGAAGGTTTAAAATTCATAGATGAGTTTTGAAAGTGCTGCCACTTTACGAGATTACGCTACAGTGCAGTTCTTGGAATGAAATTATGAAATTATCTTACGCTTGCACACGGTTTCGCTAGAATGTTTTCACCCGGATTTTCTTCAACCGGATTCATTTGTTGTTCCTTATTTGGTGCTTTCTCTTCCTTCTTTGCTGGTGATTCTCCCTTCTTTGGAGCTGTCGGCGCAGGCGAAGGCTGTGATGGAGACTGTGATGATTTCTGCTGCTTGCCGCTCTTCTTCTTGCCGCCCTTCGCAGATTTTTTGCTACCGCTCGCTTTCTTTCGCGGAACACACATTTCTCTGATATAATGTGAAGTAGATAGAAGCCGTTATGCAGAGCTCACAGAGAAGGACTCACAACCGTTTACAGCTTGAAGAATTCTAGAAATGTTGCATAGTTGCTTTCAAACGTCTGCAATATGGTAAACATCTGTTATTTTTCACTAATCATATCATTTTCAAGTATAAAAAATACGAGTTAATTCTGAATGTGGAGAAGGATAATGGCATTTTACCAACAACAAATTGAAGTCACGGCAAACCAGCATTTTCTTATGGGTCACTACACACAGCATCTCAGAAAAAGCATGCCCTATTTTTGCGAGCTCTCATTGAGATTGGCGAAATTTTCCGTAGCAGTCAGCATTACGCGAGGGTCAGTTGCTGAGCCAATCAACCACTTTTTACGGATACAAAGTCTTTTCATTTGAATGTATTGGAGAAAAAATTGCCTTTTCACGCAAGCCATGGGGCTACGGTGCTTTGCGGTGATGGCAAACAAGTATTTGAGCTTAAAGATTCTCTAGAACATAAAGCGGCTTAAACCGTATTATTTTCTTGATATATACCCTGAATTCACCAGCAAAAACGCAACTCTGTAATCTTTTTCAAGCAAGCAGCTCGGCCGCACCATTGTGCCTTGCGGGATCGCAGCAGAGTGTCCTTTGATCACGATATTTTTTGGTGTATCAGGCTGTTTAAGTTTGGAAAAACACCTTCTACTCGTGGAATTATGGCAATTGAATTAGCTTAAGTGTTAAATAACTAGCTAACACAAACTTTCATTATTGGTCACACGAAAGCGATTTTTTTGGCAGGCGTCACTTCATCCCCTACCTTAGAGTATCAAAAATCAGAAGATTTTCTTCCATTTTCGCCTGCACAAATCAAGAAGATCATTCCAAATAAGCAATAGGGAGTACGAAAGTGCTTTGCTTCAGTTTCGTGCCCGATAGATTGACATATTCGATATTATTCGCGAGCAAGATTTCACGAGTATCTAGAGTTGAAAAAATACTTTCTAGCTATGAACGGATGGTATTCTCGCAGGTGAATTAATTAGTGAATTGATTGATTTCTGATCCTTTTTTGTTTTTTCCTTAGTTGTTCCTGATGGCATGTTTTACAATGTGCTCCTTTTTTTATGATATTTTCCCCAGATTTTACAAATTTGAAGTGAAATTTGCTCTTCTTTGATAGTGGGATGCCCAAGCATGGATTCTGATAGCAACAAAAAGCGATTCTGGAAATTTTTAGAAGCAAGCTAGAGATGCTAAAAAACTCCGTTGTATTGCATTTTGCTTGCCCTATCCAAATGTTACAACAACTTTTCGAGAAGACTGAGTTGAAAGTCATATAAAATAGCTGAAAAAGATAGGTGAAACAATCGGTGGAAGATTTTGATAGTTATTCGAGCGATCTTCAAAGGACACGGGACAAAAACACCACTGCCATAAATAGGAAGAAATTCTGCATTCTAATATCGTGTCAAAGGGAGGACGCGCAGGAGGAACCAAAGGCCTAGCCGGCAGTGCCCGCAGGAGATAATTAGAGGCGCGAGCACTGCGCCGGAGATTTGGCCAGGATCCAAGAAAACTTGGTAGGAATCCATAAATGTTCGTAAGAAAACTTACCTCGTAACTTCGCTGGGGAAAACGCTAGAGAAATAAGTGGGGCAATTTGTAATCTGCGTTTTCAGCCGCATTTATAGGAGAAATGAAAGCGGAATTCACTTTTCATTTACGTTCAATCTTTGAATATGAATAATCCCAGAAAAACATTAACTACGTCGAAGTACTTACACTCAAGTTTTAAGATTTCTAAGCATATTGAATGTCAAGAAACCAAAGTCGTCAAATGTGACGCTGAAAATCGGTAGTAGAGAATTGAAGATTAAGAAATTGTTCACAAATCTTGCTCGAATTCTCATGAACCATCTGAAAACCATAATGGTAAATCTACAACTTACAGAAAATTTTACGTCAATGTGATGCAAATTCTCAATTTCTGAAAAGTTTCTAATTTGGTTCAAACACAATTTTGCAATCATTTGATTTATCAATTCAAAGTTTCATCTTGGACTGCTGACTTTAAGTTTACCTTCTCCTCCATTTTCCAACTTGAATTGTGAAAATGCTTTATGGCGAGTTTTTCGAATGACGGATGTTTCATTAAGAGAAGCCATGGAAAGTGGATTTCAAAACTTTTACTCGTATTCCTGTGCTTTTTCATGAGCAGAGTTATGAAATACGTTTTCGTATGGTCTCCTTCAAGTTTTTTTGCTATGTTGCTCTGAATCCTTACCAAATCCTCTCCACAGTGTTTGCGCTCGTAATTGCTTCCTGCGGATATGGCGGCAGGGCCTTTGGTTCCTCCTGCTACGCCGCCGTTTTTTAAAGGTTTATCTGTCTTTGTTCTGAGTGATTTGAACACAGTCCTAAACGGCACCAATTTTCGGACCGACCGTTTTAATTACGTATTGGTCTTTTCTGCCGTTTCCTTCCATCCTCAACATGACATTGGTGAGGATTGGTGAGGCGCCGCGTCGCTTCGGGCTTGCGCCACTTTCTTTTCTCGCCGCACCACGCCAAACGAGCGTCCGCTACATGGCGCAGGCCCGAAGCGAGGCGGCGCCGCACCAATCCACGTCATGTTGAGGCTGGAAGGCATACGGTAGAAAAAAATCAATACGTATTGAAAACGACTGTATGTAAATAGTAAACACGTAAATTACGTAAATGCAATTGCTGGAATTTTTCCAGCTTAAAAGCCAAGAAGCATCGGGCAAAAAATGCAAAAACGTGGCCTGTGGTTTTTTGTTCTGGATGGATATTTTTTATAGCCAAGCACATATAGTGATAAGATCCTCATAGTTTATTTTCAAAGGTTCATAGAATTCAACTCTACATGTGAAACTAGCGCGCGATAGTGTTTGCCAACTTTCGTCCTTTATTTTTTCCTTAACTTATAGCGCTAAAAAAGATGCAGGGAATGCATTTAATGAATGGTTGTTGCGTATACTACATGCTAAATAATTAGAACGTCTTGCAGAGTTTCATATGTGAAATACATCTCGAGGTACCTTTTTTTGAATTTTGGCTTCAGTTGCTTCATACACAATACGATTTACGCTAATGTTTTGTAATCGTTTTGTAGACCATGTTCTGTCTATCGGATAGTGTCCCACACTTTTATATTCACATTGCGGCTGTGGCAGAAACGCTCTTTTTTTTTTTGAACTAGTTAAGATAAATCAAAAGAACTCTCTTCAGGGTTCGGCATAAACTGGCACCAGGGACTTTCAAAACGAAGTACCCTTTGATCTTAGGGATTTCGTACGATGTCCACTCTGACCTATTTTGCATTTGCTTAGGGAGCGCTTTGTGATTGGAGCAGATTTCTCGGTTGCGAGCCAGACCGTGAAATTTGATGGCATTAAAACGTCGAAAACAAAACATTACAATTTTTTTCTTTGTACTAAACTTTTATAGTGTAGATACAATTCATTTAAGAAAGTACGAAAACGTATGTGATCAAAGGGTCAGTGCCAGTTCAGCTGGCACCCGGTGTCAGCTATATCAGAAAAAAGTTCAGCGCAGCTTTCATTCGCATAAGTTTTCACGAATTTTTTGGGCAATAGTTCGGGCCCAGTGCGCATGCACACATCACATTTGGGCCATATGATTGCGTTTTTTTGTAAACAAGGCTTTGGTCTGTTTGGGGCAGAATTCGAATTCCTGCGCTGTGTTAGCACCGGCATTTCGGCGGCATACCGACGGCATGCCGTTAGCATGCGGCTACTGGCAGCATGCTAATGAATTGAGGTGTCTATAAAGAGTAGGCATGCCGCCATGCCGGCCGCGTGCCAGCGGCGTGCCCGGTCATTCCAGGAAACAGCGGCATCTCGCAAAAACGATATCCTCTTCTGCCGAAAACGATATTCAGCTTGACCCGGTGCCAGCTGTGCCGAGCTTCTCTGTTCTCTGTGGTTTCCAGTGTACAGTTTGATAAGAAATCATTGTACGATAATTCCAGTTTCTTGGAGCCCATGTAAGTTCAAAATACAAGCATCGAAATTTTGTAAGACAAGTGAAATAAATTCGGAGATTCTGGAGTCACTTTACAAGGAAGAACTTTGTGTTGAGCTCCTTTATTTAATTTTTTTTATTTATTTTATTTAAATATGCACTATAAGTGCGCCAAAAGAAATTAACTTAATAACTAATCACACAGCACAGTTGAAAAACTGCGATTTGACAGTGTTCATAACAGCAAAACACACTTAAGTATATGTAGTGTTCGCTCACGTTCCCCGTCACTGCTGATAACGATGGCAAACTGTCAACCCAGCATATTTTTTATAGCTTGCTACGCTTCGTTCCTTTCAATGTATTAACTTCTATGGATCACCGGAGGAGTATTTTCAGAGCAGGAAGCAAAAAGTCTCAACATTTTTTTAACCATTCGAAGTTTGAAATTATAGAAAATCGACGTAGACCGCCGACTTTTCTAGATCTTCTGAGCCGTGAGACATGAATTTTATGTAGCCCATATATTATCTAACTTTGTGTGCTCATTTTCTACTCCTATCGCAACAAAGATGAAAATCGAATGTCTGCTTTTGTTAATGAAGACTTTCTCTGTTTTACAGATAGATAATCAACAGTGATTATGTCTTCGTTGGGCAGAGATCGCAGTAAAATACGAACATTCCAGATAAAATAAAGGTTACTGCATGACAAAGGCGCAAAATTCTTTTAGCGGGAGTCCGAAGGCGGCGCGCGCGTATTTTCACCGTTGTAAAATATGCGCCTCATGCGCTCTGCGGCTAAAAAAGCCGCGTTTGCGTCCAAAGATATTGCGCCTTCGTCATCGGCAGCCTTACATGTATGTCCCGGTAGAAGGGGGTTAGGAAGAAGTCTATGTTGAATCAATCCCCTTTTCCTAAGCTTTGGAATGGTATATAGGATGCTGGAAGAAATAATTGCTAGTTTTTGAAAAAGGGTTGGAGATATTTAACATTAGCTTGCTCACCTCGCCATTTTAATGATATTACCTTTTATGGGTCACCGAAGCGAGTATTTTTTGAAGCACGGAAGTAAAAAGCCTCAACAATTTGCAAACCATTCGAAAGCTGAGCTCATGGGGAATCTACGTAGACAGTCGCCTTTTTTTCTAGGTCTTCTTAGCAGTGAGATATGAGGCCAACTGATTTTGTTTGCTCACTTTCTGCTCTCCTATCGCAACTATTTTTTATTTATTTTATTTATTTAATGCGCACAACGCGTGCCACATTTTCGACAAAGTAAATGGATATACTCAGAACCTGAGCAGTGTCAAACAAACAACCAATAACATCTACAACAGATCACGGCTCCCAGATGTCAAGAATAGAGGGTGAGTTAAGCTTGTTGAGACCATGTACGAATATATTATCAGTGTGAAGCTCACTGGAGTCTGTCTCATCCCTTGCTTGTAGCGAAAGTGCTCTAAGATCACTCAACTTAAGCAACTGTATTTGCGAGGACGGTATGTGTTGATAAATATGCCCGACTAACTCTGGGGAGAAAATAGAACTCGGTAATAAAATGCAAAAAGATGAGACAGGCCTGACAAGCTATTTTCAAATAATAAAGGAAGGGTGAACCGGACTGGAACCAACTAGTGGGAGAAGTAATGGTCGAAACAGTGAATGACTTGAAGCTTCAACGGTCGCAAATATAGTATTTGGGAAGGTTACCACTAAGATCTTTTGCGCAATTGGAAGATTAATAGAGTTAGTTACATAATACTAGAGGAAGCCCAAGCAGCATGCGAAGCAGAGACCGTAGGGGAAGTTCGGCAGGTGAACGGCAGCACTATACGAGCGGTAACGAGAAGTAGTCATGTGGAGGAAAATTAGTCAAATTCAATTTCTTGAGTCTACTTTTGAAAGTGAGAATATCTAAAGAAGACAGAATTTCTTTAGGTAAACACTGGAGATATTTCGACATGTGTGCAAAAACTATTACTCGCACTTGTTATCAAAGATGCCGCTGAGTGGCAGTAGATGTGCATGCATTGTAAAACATGTAAACAGTAGCTTTTAAGTGACAAATTCTTGACGCGAGGAATAGTTGTTTATCGCAACTACCACTCGCACTTGTTATCAAAGTGGCTGCTGAACAGCACAGACGTCACGGTAAAAAATGTAAACAGTGGCCTTTGAGTGACACACTCTTAGACGCTTATCATAACGTCCTTGAGTAATATACATTTAGTGGTCGAATGGCTGATAAGCAATGCATTCGGTTCTCTTTGTTCTCATGAACGTCAGGGTCTAGCTCAATTTTCTAGTTGATAGACATATAATAATAGTAACTAAACAAATATGACCACCTTTTGAGGAGATATGCAAAACAGCACCACCAACGAACAGGCCTTTGTTCAAGCCTTTGAGGAAAGGGTGGATTTTAAGAGGACTAGTTGCAAAGAAAAGTGAGTTTCTTGAAGAGCTCCATTTTTTCATTTCTTTTTCTTGATTTAGAAGATATGGGCCCGTAGTAATCTACCCTACCTGCCGGCAGGTCTTGCCCTCAACTCGTCGCGATCTCGCCCTCATGTCATGGAAACTGACAACGCTCTTTCTAGCTCCCCCAAAGCAATCAGTTTGGCATTCTCCATGTCTGACGGCCCAGCCTAGAGCTGGGCACCAGATGGAGGTCGAAAAAAATCCGAAAAATTTCGACAAATTCAAATTTTGGGTTCAAAAGATTGACCTGCCGGCAACCTCGTGAGGTATTTTGTCGAGATATATGCCGGCATCTCGCCCTCAACCTGCCGGCATCTCGCCCTCGTGTCAGCAAAGAAAGGAAAATAGCGTGCATATTGAGGAGTGCAACCTGCCGGCATCTCGTCGTGGTCGGACCACGACGAGATGCCGGCAGGTTCATGACATTCATCTCATTTTTTGACGTATTTTTGATGATTTCTTTATTTTTCGTGTTTTTTTTCTTGTTTTTGAGGCACACTCATGATCCAAAACACTCACAAAATTTCAAAAATAGTTGGCATGATGAGTCTTTCTATTTTGCTGTAAGAAAAATAATGATTGTAAAACGTTTCATGCGCTACAAGACCATTTCTTGTTTCCCATTGCATGTTTTCCTATCTGTATTTTGATCTACAGGGTGTTTTTTGAAGGATGCTGTTATATGTGTATTGTTTTTTTTTTTGCTAAACATGGATGCTTAGTATGGAGGTTTTGTTTCTCATGCTGTTCGGTGTTGCAGCAGTTGAGCTCCCAATTAGCTCGCGGCTTCCTATCGTTTTAACTTGATGTAAACATCTACTATACATTAAGATTTGAGTCTAGCTTGATGAGTTTAGCTCAAAATGTACTTTGGATCCTTTGTAGCTGCGGTAAGACGCATGTATTTATATTCTACTCTGGTATGTCCGTCACATGTACTATTCTTTGTCCTATATCACGTTCAAGCCAGCGTGTGTCTCGATGCTAAGCGCTGTGTCACAGGTTATCTTTCCATTTCATATTGCCTTTGTTTTTCAAACGCGCATTTGCTGTCTTATCCTCTCGTTATACACGCACATCGCAGTATAGTAACCGATTTCTCTCAAATCGCGCGGTAGTGATAACTTACTTCACCAAATAATATTTCCAGAAATGTGACGCGAATACACTGGTCACAATCATTGTGCGAATTCGGCAATTTCGAAAGACAACGAGAGGGTAGGTAAGTGCAGTAGATACGCTCATCAAAGCTCTTCGGAATTTTTGCAATATAGTTTTTCCAGAACTTTGGCTCAACGAAAAGTGGGTATTTTGTCGTAGTATGATATCAAATGTGATGGAGCAGTCACTGGCAGAGTTGGCGAAAGTTTCCAAGCTCTGCCTTCAGGTACGTTCTATCTACATTCGAAATGTTAGTAAGGATTCTCAACTTTTCTGTAGAGTTTACCTACAGTTTACCTGGTTTTTTTCTCCTTCTTCTCCTTCGCACAGTATTGGATAGCACTTCTATCCAATTTACATGATTTATTTATTTGTTCCAAGTTGTTTCTGCTCGCTTTTTCCCTACACTTTCTTGATGAGTCACCTTAACTTTTCTTAATGACACTGTCTCAATGACAGTGTCATATTTATTGCCTGTGTAGTTTGCACTAGCGGCTCCGTTCTGCGCGGTCGCTTTCGCGGATCGTGGAGGTTGGTGATTACGACCAAGCTCGTGCAATATGCCGAAAAGCTTCTCAGCTTCCCATTTGCTTTTTTGCCTACTGTCACTTTTATTTACATGCAGCGAAGTTGAGGAGTCGGAAGAGATTTCGTTTTTGTTTCAAAATCAAGGGCATTGTACAATAATGGTGAGCTGTGTCCTAGTCGAAACACCTAGCGCCCGTGTATAGCACCTTTGGGTATTTTCCACGCCGAGTGGCTCAAAAGATGAGGGATGTGAGAAAATGAGAAAATATTCAAGGGTACGCTCGCACATGCGGCGTGAGCTCTAGGCGAGGCCGTCGCGCAAATCCAAGCCACTAGCGCAAACGAAGAGCCATTGTAACAGGTTGCAGCTCCTTTCAATGTGTCTTTTCTAGGCCCAGTGTATAGATCGCCTCCTAAAGAAGATGGCTGCAAAAGCAGGCGAGTCGGTCTTTCAAAGGGGCGAGTATTTAAGAGCATTACGAGTTTTTTTTCACCTCTGGTATGTAATGAGCTACTTTCTAGCCGGCATCAGTACTACATAACTTCATTGTACATATCGAGAGAAAGTTTGATTTGGATGTTATGAAAAGGTACAGCATTACATACCATAGCGTACATAGCAGGGGTCTAACTAAGACACTGCCCAAGCGGCAGCTCAGGTAGTGCTCTAACGGCTGAGATATTCCCCTCGAAGCTGGACCCTGCGATCGTATTCCGCATGGATTCATGGCGCAAAGCGTGTGTCCTGGCGCGAAACTTCCACCATACGACGATCGCGAGGTCCAGTTTCGAGGGAAATATCTCAGACCTTAGAGCACTACTGCCCAAATACTGCCGCTTGGGCAGTATCTTAGTTAGACCCCCCAAAATTGTTTCCACACCCAAGTCCCAAACGTCCAGATCTGCTTGGACGCTGCCTTTAAACAACCCAACTCTTTCGTGGAACTGAACATTCTGTTTTTATATCGAACATATCCCTTTCAGATAAAGCTTCCATTTCTGTGCTTAGCCTCCCACCGTTTTTGTTTTTAAGACGCTATCATTCCTTTCTGTTAATCGTTCGTGAAAAGAATGGCGTTACAATGGTGGGACAATGTGCAGCTTCATTCGACCATCGGTTCTACAACTGTTATCAATAAATACGTGAATTTTCTCGGTTTGTAGACCCTACCTCACTTTCTCTTTCTTACTTCAATTTTGAAAAAAAAAAGAGTCCACAAACTCAGTTTATTCATTAGGGTCTGTTTGTTTGTTTTTGTTCTAGATGTATATGGTTCCAAAAAGACGATGGACCGGTCTCACTTTCGGCCAGAACATTGAGAATACAAGGTCAGTATTCTCTACCATCTACTTGCCGACATCAATGGTCAAGTTTTAAGAGTAATTCAAGCAAAACTAAGCGTGCCTAAGGTGCACACAGTTCTCTTACAAATGCATTTCTTTGTATTTTATGGAAAACTTGCAAATTCCACATATGGCCTCGAATATAGTTGCAGATTCGAAAAGCGAAGTTCAAAGCCGCAATTTCATCGCCTCGCCATTCTCCCGACAAGACAACTGTTGCGAGTACATTACATGTACATCACCTTACATTTCGGCTGCAGTAGAAAGTCACGATCACGATTAGTTTTGGCGGAAAACTATCACTACCGAAATGTAAGGTGATGGCGTGCAATGAACTCGTAACAGTTGTCTTGTCAGGAGAATCGCGAGAAGAAATCGCGTGAACGATGTCCGAGGCTTTAGCAGCACGATTGCTGCGTTAGAGCTTTCGCAAATGTTTTTTTACAGTATTCACGAGCAAGGCCGTTCGGAAATCGTGTATCTTTGATGTCGTAGAAAGTTATGGAAAAACCCGATCGACATTGTTGTTGTTGTTGAGGTGAGTAACTAATTCCTTACAAGATGCTTAGTTACACTTTGATGTATTTGTAATTGATTCTTTCAGGCTGAGGAACTCTCGTTGTGCCCTTTCTATCGTTGCAATGCTCGCGCTGCTCAATTTTTGATCCGTTATTATACGTTACCATGTTTTTTGGAGTGAACTCTTTCTAAGCCCGTTTCGGGACTGTTTCAAAGATGCACTTTGTTGTGCACCAGGAAGTGCGTGCGGTTCACTTCGAAAAGCCTTTATAAAGGTTGTAGCTTGGTGATGCCTTATGTATCTTATGTTTATACTGATTGGCATAGCTTGGCTAAGCACGTCCGCAGCAGTCGTAAGATCATTTGTGAAGTTATACAATTCAAGTCCAACCTAACCTCCCGCTTTGTAGTGTATTAGTCAAATCTGACTGCTTCACATGGAGAAAGAGTACAGTTCACGCTGCATCTTTTCCCCGCAACGAATAATATGAGATGCCACCTGGCCAGGACTTAGCTAATTTCTTCCTCTCTGACTGATTTTAGTATTGTTCACACATAAGGACTAGGCATCCAGATTTACCCCCTTTCTGCCCAGATGGATGATAGCTGCAAATAAGCATACTGTAGTCCTATGGTTGTCAATATACCGTTGATATAGTCGGCAATATGTTCTTCGCTGGAAAAAAGTAAAGTAGTGTCCACTAAGCTCCCAACGTTTTCAAAATCAATATTCACAGCTTAGCCATAGAATTTGAAAAAATTTTGTCCTACGCAACACGCCTGGCTGGCACAAGCTATCTTTCACGTTGGCTGCCCCCCTCTGCTGAAGTTTGCGTTTTTCTTCACAGTTAATAAGCAAATTACAAGTCAACTGAAGAGGCACTTTATTCAATTGTTAAAATCGGAATGAAGTTGACTGCTTTCCGTACTGCAAATTTAGGCTGACACACGTGTGTAGCTTTGATCCTCGTTACCAACCTGTTTGGTTATTTGTTTTGGTAGCTGCAAGTTATTTGTGATTCTTATCACTTGTGTTTTGAATGCATTACGATTTGTATAAGTATCGTCGACTCGTGGTCTGCTTGGGCATCACTGAGCACGCACTGCTTGTACCAGTACAAATTCGCCGCTGTTCAAGTTGAGCTTTCGCGGCATTTCAGTCGCGCCGCTCGTGGTCCGCAACTTGGGCCGTCGTACGGTCAATAAATCGACGACAGTTGCTTTGGAAGACGATTCACGCAGTTTTCGCCCTTCTTTAGATCGGTTTCTGAACAGCTTAGCCTACAAGTAGGTAGATAATGAAAATCAAGAACTGCCGAACACTGCCCTCAACGTGATGTCTAGGCGCTACTCATCAGCGATGTCTCTCAGGACATGCATTCATTAGAAAGCACCTCTAAATGTCGCCGCAATGATTTTTGCTTTTGGGGTTTCTAGTAAAATGAAGATTAGCGGGCGAGGGTCGTCTAGTGGTACGATTACCGTTTCGGCAGGAACCAAGGTGGGATTCGAGGTTACCCCATCTTCTAGATTTGAGTAAATCAAAACGACGAGCTCTTGACACCCGATCCGCACAAGTGCTTGAAATGTTTGTATCACCAAGTACTTTTTTCGAGTGGGAAAGAATGCTTTGGGAACTCCTCTATCTCACCTTTTACCAAGGTATGCGCTAGACCCTTTAACATTCTCGCATGCTCTGTGGGATCCCACTCATATTTATCATGCGGAAAGCTGACTTCTGCATAATAGGCTTGCTGCCGTGGCCTCATGATATTGCTTCTCAGCATAGTCTACCAGTTCCAGTAGCTCATCATTCCACACGTACCTACGTGGGGTGAATGTGTTAACATGTTAATGTTAACATGAATTGTTAAGCTTCATCATCATTCTTGTAGAAAGTCGTAATGTACACGTGTAGTCCAATGGTTGACGTGCTGACTTTCGTTGGCAGAAGAGGGTTCCATCCCAGCAGGTGCAATGGTTTTGCGATCGACCTTACATTGCACAGTGACCTGTTATATCGAGAGGCTTAGGAGCTCGCAAACCTCACGCCCAAAACATGAGCTTGTCATGAGGTTCGCGAGGTTGCCGTCATGTCTTATGCCAGCATGTCAGGTGGATTACTACCACCCATGATGTCTCGTGAACGACATCGTGCTCACGAGAAAGTACACACCCTGGTGTCATGCTGATAACGCTTTCGAAGGGGCTATACATGAAAATGAAAAGTTTATTCTTGCCCTACTCCTCAGATTAAGGGCATTACCATTTCTTCTATTCTGGGAAGTGCATAAGTGATACGTTTTAATTGAATGTATGTCGAAGAAAAGGTAAACTTTTTCAGGAAAAAAAATAAAAACTGCTTATGAGAGATTTACATCTTCAGACATCGAAGGCAACACATGGAGGGGTGGTCTATATGACACTCCGTTGGAGTTTGGAGATCTGAGCCTAGTCAATGAAAGCCCAAGACGTGAGATTCCAAGAAAATTCCCATCTGTTATCCAGAGAAGTGTAGAATTTATCAATAAAATGAAGTAGGTAATCAATTTATGCTTTACTAACTCTCAAAGATGATTTTCTAAGTGCGCGAAAAGGAATTTCAAGTGCTGTAAGTGCAAATGTCATTTCCTAAAGGCAGCGGCTCGGCAGAATGACAACTTTGGGATATTCATCGTTCTCGGTTCTCCCGGATGAGCTAAGTCTAAGACTGTGCTTTGCAGCTTCAAAAGATATCAATGACCCGCTTTTCCAGACGTGAAAAGCGCTATCTGAGGGCGGACCGCGTAAGCGCCCTCTAGAGCGCGATTGGCTCGTGAGGAGAGATACTGTACCCACCGTACTCATGAGCCAATCGCGCTCTAGAGGGCGTTTACGCGGTCCGCCCACAAATAGCGCTTTTCACGCCTGGAAAAGCGCGTTATTGATATCTTTTGAAGCTGCAAAGCACAGTCTTGGACTTAGCTCATCCAGGGGAACCGGGAATGATGACTATCCAAGAGTTGTCACTCTGCCGAGCAGCTGCTTTCAAATGTAAATGATATAAGTATGCTATGCTATAATTTATCACAATAATTTCAAATATCGTTTTCTTATGTATCGTTACACTTCCTCCGAGTACGTTAAGCGGACATTTGCAGACATCTGAACATGTTGGTGAACTTGTTGACCCTCTACTGCTAGGCATTGTTCTTTGTAATCTCTCGCTACCAACTCTGCCATGTATGACAACAGCATATATACGTGGCAGTTTAGAGAGTACAAAGAACCATACTTTGCAATGGAGATTTGACAAGTCACCGACGCGTTCAGATGTCTGCAAATGCTCCGTTCAACGTAAACGGGAAGGCAATGACATATGTATAAGTGTGCTTGTTGTTTGGGCTGTTCACCTCGTAAAGCTTTCGATAATAGTAATCATGTTACATTCTCAGATTACTTTCCCATTCTCAGCCACAGGTGGGGTCATCCGGTGTTCGGTTTCAAAATGAAGGGGGTATAATCCAACACTCCCCCTATCGCTACTATGCTCCCTATCCCGTCATTCATCTCCTTTACTTTGTATTATTTGCTTTTCGACTGAATTCTGCAATCTCATCCATTGCTCTCAATTACCATATACAGGCGATTCATCGCACGCAAAGACTACGTGTGTATTGGCGTCTTTATAATTAAGCGCTCTTTAGTCTCTTATCTTTTGTTTCTCCAGTGCACAAGCTAGCTTAATCGGACGCACATGCGCCTAGTCTTTGTGGGTTATGAATCGCCGATACCTCAAATTGTAGGCCATTATTCAATATGTCATTGTCTTTTATACCTATGTATTTATTTATAAACCTCCTTATTGCAACCACTATACCAACCACTCTGTCATGGAATTGTCATAATGATAAACAGTAAATCATTTATGTTTTGTGGAGAAGGAAAAGTTAGAGAGAGAGAGAGTCAAAGTAGTTGCACATCACTGGTCAAAGTCCTCTTATCACACCAAAGGCATTGAATTATTAGGTCGTTCCATAAGTTCGTAGCGTTTTCATTTTCGTCCTCATATCTCTGAGGAGCGGTTGCTTTGCGGCAAAATGCGTATATCGTTTGGAAGGGCTGACTGTGCTCTTTAAAATACGTCTACTGATTTCGGTGGAAAGCTGATTCTCTCGGATCTCGCAGCTTCCAAATGTGGAAATTTTGAAAGGCAAAAAGGAGCAATTTCGGCATTTGCGCATTTTTCTTTATGAAAAGAAGCGCTTTTTCACAGATTTTTGTGTCGATTTGGAACATGGCGCCCGCACATCAATGTGAGACAAAAAAGGATTGGATTGCTACAAAAGATCAGGGGCTGTGCAGGGTGTCCCTGAACAAGACTTTTCAAGCGACGGGCAGGACGTTCTGCACTAAAAATTGCTGTACAGGTAGGCGATGGTCAACCATTATTCTGTACATCTACAGAATTTTTCGATATTTTGACAGGATTAATGTTTTGTCTGCTTGAACATTTAAAAGCTTATTCATCGTGCCTTATGTTATTACAGTATGTATGTTTTGTTTCTATGAGCATTTCGGGAGCTTATTCATCATGTCTTATGTTTTCGTTAGCCCACTTCATATCGTGTGATATTTCGAATAATCAGCATGGTTATATAAGCCTTGGTTAAGTGTCATAAATGCCTTCCGAGCACAGTGTGTAAATGGCGATTACGGCAGCTCCTTGAGAAGGACGACGCCTCAACTTCGCAAACCCGGACTGCGGCTGCAGTATCTCCTCAACATCCCCAAGTCAAGGCTCTCTTCCAGTAATGGAGTTCAACAGTGGCAGCATTCGCCGCCAAATTGGCATCTCGAAAAAACGACTTCTGCACTTGTGCGAGATGACCAAGCAACTCCTTGATGACTACAACATTGATAAAGGCAACCCCCAGTTCACTCATCTAAAAGACGAGGATTTTGCAGACTTCAGAATTGACCTAATAGAACAGCGTTCGCAGTTGTACAATACTTACGTGAAGATACAAAAACTCGACGATGGTCAAATGCACCGCCGAAGAGGAGATATTCAATGATTATGTGAAGAAATATGGAGACTACAGCATCGCCGTTCAAGACGCAGTTGATTTACTAGAAGAAATTGATGACATACTCAATTCCTACGACAAGGAACTCATTCAACGGCAACTCCCTCTACCTCCAGAAAATGACGAAAGAGTACCACACACTGCACAAATTCAAACCAGAGCAGCATACAACCAGAGCGCCACAGAATACACAATGAACTTCGTCGATGCTTCAATCTTGAGCAGGCTTGACCTTCCAGTTTTCGATGGTAACTTACTCGACTACCCCGAGTTCATGGCACGGTTCTCGACCTTGATTGGTAACAAAAAAGATCTCAACGATGCTACAAAGTTCCCACTATTGAAATCTTGCCTAAAAGGACGGGCCCTCCAGTCGATTCACGGCTTAGCACTTACGGCACACAATTACAGCATTGCACTAGACATTCTCAAGTCGCAATA